ATAGTAAATAAGTTGTGGTACTTGATTAGGTCTTAAAGCAAACAGGTAAATAGACAATATTATATAGATATGTTTGTAAGTATTTACATAGGAATTATGTATATGAGTATTGTTAATTCATATATGTATTGTTTTTCTATTCTAATTACCAACACATATATGTATGGTCTCATTTTGTTTTTCCTTGTAGATTTAAACTAGTGCTTATCCGCGGTTTACTCGAGTAATTGTTCATCATTTAGCTTCTTTTTTTATGGAAAAAATAACAATGATTTAAGTTTTTATATCTACGTTTAATTAAATAAGATTATTATTTTATTCATCTTACTATGTTTTGTTTATTAAAATCGTTTTTATGATAAAAATATTGAGGCGTGGTTTATGAAATTATGACGCCAACAAAAATTTTCATATCAATATTAACAAATTACTAACTAAATAAATATTACTTATGAAAATATTATTACTTATTTTGGAGATATTTTCATAGTTAACGATCGGAATCAAATCCTTCAATAAAAAATAAATATAAATAGTTTGTTTTCAATTACGAAGTCAGCTGTTGATATTATGATAGATCTTATCATATGCGACTGAGATTTATATGTACAAGCTTTGGAATTCGCGAGCCGGCCAAGAACACGTCTTGTAAAAGAAAACAAATTTTATTTATTGATGTCTCGAATGTGTTCCTTTCTAATAGAATACCTTTGTTTTTACTAATATCTACAGATGTTGTATGGGAGTCATATTTTAAAAGTTAAAAGACATGTCGTTCAACTTTGTTTTATCTTAATTTAATTATATTTTTTTATTGTTTTTTTGAATTTTTTATCTGTTTTATCTGTATTGATTTCTCTAAGAGAATTACAATATTTGAGAGGTTAATTACAATATTTGTTTGTATTTTTTTTCTTATAATAACCTCCTTGGTCCTTATATTAGGTTACATATAGTTCAAATATTCCCATTTAATAAACTCCCGACCTTATATATCAGGTCAAGAAACTATTATGCAAATCTATGAGATATTTATGTATAATCGAATAAAAAGAATAGTTTACGGAGGTCATTCAACTTTGATTTTTATTTCACAGATCTTATCTCGTTACATAATTATAGCTATTAATATTAAGTTAATACATTTTATTTTATTTTTGGTATTATTTGAAACTCCGTCTGTTTGTGATGTTTTGTGAATTTAAGTTCACCGGCCGGCATCGAGATGTAAATATCCCGATTCGTTGGCCATTCTGGCATTTTTCCAGCTGTGAATGCCAGCGTAGTAAACATAGATCGGCCGACAAACACCGACCATGTGTATGGGCTCAATCAAATTGTTCCAACATTCATACAGTGACATTTTTAAGGCAGCCCTACTTCAAGTCTACATACATGACATATTCTCAACAAGTTTTGCGATAATGCCTGCCCATAGACGTAATATGAGAATACAATTATGAAACACGCTTATTGTAAAATCGTGACTGTTACATCAATGTTAATATTTACAGGCTAAATAATACTCAATTATTTTTGAAAATTACATATAGATTTTTAGTTTAGCTTATGTAATATAAAGGATGTTAACTGATTTTCCTTTAAATAAAAGTAATATTTTTCGTATATGCTATGTGGTTTATTTTTGTGAAAAACTACATAGTCCCGTTTCGTCTACTTTTCAGCAACCGTGATCATGGAAAATATTAGTTTCATTTAAATTAATAAACTCGCGAAAGTTTTAGATCTCATTATGATTTTCTTTTTTTAATTCGCAATTATTACATCAAAGTTCACATTAATTCCTTCGTGTTTTCTCCATACAGTATTCAAAATTATGTAGAATAGGACTTAAATATCCCACAATTCCAGTGTGAAAGAAGCCTTATCAATAGCCTAAGCAATATCGAAGACGATCACTAACTAAAGGCAGCGTTATATCTATATCTCAAGAGTCATACTTGTGGGGATTCTATTAAGTCACGACTCACAAGCGGATGTTGATGATAACCATATAATGTTTGTTCTGTTCTGTCTCCTGAGATTCAGTCTCAATGAATTAATTTATTGTTCCCGGCCCGTCATGATGACGTCAATGTAATGCCATTGGTTGATCAGCATATATATAGTTTTTTCATTGATATTTCAATCACTTAATTTTAGACTATAAAGAGGCTTGACTGTATTACAAAACCTAGATTTACCTACATTTTTAATCGAGTTTTAAAAGCGAGGCAATTAAAACAGTAATCTCAAATGAATTAATAATCCTCTGATCTCATTATGTATTTACGAGTGACATCGATTTCAGTAATAGGTTCATAATGTGAATTTTTCTTTGGAGCGATTTCTTAAAACATACATTTATAAATTTATTTATTAATTGTATTATCTTATTAATTCTACTTAACTTTTTATTAATATTTAATTGTAATAAAGATATGTAACTTTATTTATAATAACAGCAATAAAAGTTTCACACGATGTAATACGTCGAAGTTCTAAATACAATTACCATTGTGGACACAATTGTCATTTCTCAGTACGTCAGTTAATAGCTGTTGATAACACACATCCTTACAAATAAACCCATACAAATAATGTATACATTAGTTGTTATATTAAATAGTACATTAACATTTTACGACTATGATATCCATGCTATAAATAAATATGTATTCAAGGTAAATAGTGCAAGTGATAATATGAGAAACATTTTATAACCAGTAAGACTGAACTAGTTCAGCCTGTCTTTACTCCTGTATAGTTTTCCGTTATCAGATGACGTCATTACTCCTATAGTTTTTTTCCATACCCATACTTCTGTAACATCTTAATATATACAATATAAAACAATAAAAACGATAAACGCTTGATATCAAAACAATTGTACGTTATATTGATTAGTTCCTATCAAATATCCTAATAAAATAGGCATTAAATAATATTGCATAATATGCTTGTATTCATTGCATTATTGCATGTATGTATAGTGAATTTGTTATCAGTGCTGGAATATTCCGGGATGACGTCACACTCCCATACATCTTAATTTCACGTCATGTGTTACCCGCGTACACTTTCGCCAGCCAGTGTTGACATAGTGCAAAATTGATGTCTGATTATGATTGATATGGCCACACTATATCGGTCAATAGTGTGCTCTATCAAGATGCGCACGCATGCAGCCTCTCGCTCGCACCATCATAACCTTCGTTATATCCAGTTTTAGTCAGCATACTTCACGTCCAGCGAACCCCTTCCCAGAAATAGTTAGAGTGGCTGCTTTAATTAAAAAGTCGTAAGAATACCTCTTAACAAATAACAGAGGAAATATATTGAAACAGACAAAATCTTAGTCTTCTTCCTGGCAAATTCACAGCTTTAGCCAGTGAATAGTTTTTGGCTAATTTTTTACGACCGGCCGCCTGCCTGACATCAACTCTCTTTGGGAATGCATTAATTAGTTACCTAATGTGTTACATGCTTAATAAATTATTTCGAAAATAGTGTATATTTTTCTTTTAGTAATAACTAATAAGACTACGGTTTACGAATTATAATAAATTCTGTATAATTTTCCTTTTTATTAAATTTTGCACAAGTATTTAAATTGGAAACATGACTCAAGTGACAAGACACAGTTACAACAATAATTTTCTTTTAATTAAGTAATTAATAATATTGCAAAATCACATGCAACACTTAAAGGTATACAAGGGATAAGTTGGGTTCTCCTTTCCTAATTCGCTGAAAAAAGGTCAAAATTTTTCAACAAATTTTTGTCTAAATGTATAAATAAAAAATTAATATGACGTCATCTGAGAAACGACAAAGACAAACTGAACTAGTTCAGTCTTTCTCATATTATCACTTGTACTATTTACCTTGAATGCATTTACTTACATATTTATTTAATTATCAGTTGGAAATCATAAAGACATAAAATTTTCATGTACTTAATACATACACTCGTATATATTTAATAGGGCGAATAGAAAGTATATAATGATATAGTGGTAAATAACAAGTATTGTAAATTTAAATAGTAATGGAACAATAAGCTTCTAAATTACTTTACAATTAATCTTTAAACTAATTAAAAGTTTATCATTATAAGATAGAAGGTCGGTAATTAATCAAGTGTAATGAATTGGCGCCAGGTAACTAAAAAAATTATGCCTGTTGAAATAGAAATGATTATAGTTTATGACTAGTTTTTGCCCGCGACTTCGTCCGCGTTAATTTCGTCATTAGTAATATACATATTATGTATAGCTGACCGGGCGAACTCTATTCCGTCTTAAATAACCAGGTATTGGTATTAATTACATTTTTCCTGTTTCAATCGAACAGAATGATTGTCATATTAGTCAGTTGTCAGTTAATCTACTGTCAAAAAAACGTTTGTATGGGAAATAGAAAAGGGCTGTTTATAGGGTTTTCTCGGAAATGAATCAATTTTTTCAGCTTTTAAACCTCCCCTGAATCTCCACAAACATTTCAAGACTAAGATAAGATAAATCCGTTCAGCCGTTCTCGAGTTTAAGTGAGACTAACGAACAGCAATTCATTTTTTTTATATATATAGATTTCAGAGCAGAAATATTTCACTTAAGCATTTTTCCCTGTCTTCCTATAGCCCTGAATATTTAAATTAGTATCGTGTTAAGACTTGATAACAGTAATTAGCTCACGTTTTGCCAGAATTTTAGGCATTCGAGTAATCATCCCTTGTTAAAAATTTGGTAACGATGTGGGTACATTCTTCCTCCATACTTGCACCATTGATCAGGTTGTGATGAAACTTAGAGAGGGTGTACTGGCAAGGACTGTCATGAGTCTGGTGAACTAATTTTTTTTTACATCAATTAGTTTTTTAATTATAAGTAAGCGTTTTGTTTTTCTTCGCTATTTATAATGAGCATAACTTTAATTATACCCTGAAAACAATGTATGAAAAATACTCCTACTTAATCGAACTTCTTTTTTGTTTGTAGGGACAGTCACCAAATAGACTTACCCCCGTTCGGGAAGTACGCCACCGGCATCTTCTTCCTGGACAAACTTCACCATCAGGACATCGAGAAGAAGTTCCAGGAGTTGGCTGAGAGCCTCAACCTCCGCGTGATCTGCTGGAGAACTGTACCCACCAATAACGCTACTATCGGTGAGTCCCCACTAAACATATACAGTTAGTTACACTTAATGTAAATTGTATTAATTAATATCATTGGCTTTTGTCATATTGAATAGATTTTTTTAGTATAATCATTATGTCTATACGAACATATTTTTTTAGGCTTCCTTCACATGATCGTTCATGTGAGCCGAGTGTTTAGCTCGTGTGAAGGATGCCTTCGATGTCATATTATTTTGTGTTCTGAATGAGTTCGTTTCACCACCACCGGACGGCTCGTCCACGTTGCATCGCGCTGTTGTTTGTCTGGGACTATCATTGCAGGTCGTTCACATTGTAAAGTCGGTTCTCGGGTTTTGGTTCGCTCGTTAGCGGCCGAGCGGTCTTGCGATGCTTGACCATACGGTTTGTTTTATTTACAAATCTCACGTTGGATCAACTCACATTATTCCCGTCGGTCATTCAGCTTCGGGTCTAATGTGAGTTCCTCTAACGTGGTAACTCTATCTGATGCATAATTCCATGTATTGGTCGAATGAAAAGGACGGGGTGGAGCAAATTTTAATGTAATATATATAGTAAAGCTGTAATACATGGATGTATGCTTCCAATTCCATATAAGGTGCGGACTACGTTTGCATGTTTGTAGTTAATTTTGGCAAAAAAAAACTTTTTATAGTAACGATTTGTTGATTATGTTGTAGTCCGTATCCTGAAGATACATTTGATTGAACTTTTTAGTAAATTTTATATTCAATATATCAAGTATAGGATCTTTATCACACAAATGGTTGTTGCTTTATAAAGACGTAATTATTTAGTTCAGAGTCATGAATGCTAGATTGTAATTGAAAACATATCCATAGATCATTGGAAAGAGCATTTGTGATCATTAAAATTAAATTCAATATGAACACTGTCATTGAAATCATGAGGAATTGATAATTTTTTGGTACATTTACAAAGCATAGTTTCGATATCAGTATGGAGACTTAAAGATCATCAAGTAATGATATTATTCGGCTCAATTTCAGGTCAAGTGGCTCGTAACTCGGAGCCGTATATGCGGCAAGTGTTTGTTACCGGAGATATCGAGGATGAAACTCAACTAGCTCGTCAGGTAAGAAGGAAGAAGCGAGAGAAACACACAGACAAACACACACACACACACACACACACACTCTAAGTATGAACTCGCAATGTATTTAAAATTGCGACTTCAAACTCCATCGACCCATAACAGAAGACACTCTTGAAGCTTTTATTTCAGATCGCGTCGCTCGACAGCCGCCGCCCCGCAGCAACTCGTCCACGTAAATCTACATCTACCCTACATACTACATTTCCTCAAGAGTTCGTGACTATAATGTATTGTTCTTACTTCTTCCAGATCTTCGTGTTACGCAAGCGCGCCTCTCACGAGCTGGTGGTGCCTGGAGCCCGCTTCTATATCTGCAGCTTGTCTTTGAGGACTGTTGTTTACAAGGGACTCCTCACATCCAATCAGCTATGGGTAATTATAGTTACATTTTTGTATGATTTTGGTATAAAGTCGTTTGTTTTTTCTGTCAGTGAAAAATGTAAAGATTTGGTTTTAGCTGTTGTTAAATGATTATCAAAACAAAATTTGCTAGACTTATTTTTTATAGTATCTAATGTCTATATTATCATCATTAAAACATATACTTGAAACTGAGTTTCATCCAAAAAAATGTCGCACATTAAAAGGAAAAGGGTTATCACTTGAAAGAGTCATTATGTGCAGCGCTGAGGGTCAAAGGGTTTGTCATAGTATATGATCTCCATAAACTGAAAACTATGTGATTTTAATATTTAAGAGATGCTAGCACGTTGGTTCTTTTCGAGATTTCCTACAAGTGCTATCGCAAAAGCGAGGATAAAATTGCAATATCTGTTACGTCACATCAAGGGGGAAGGAAAATAAAAATGTAACATGTTTTTGAAACTCTTGTGACGTAATTCATCTAAGGCTTGTAATAACATCTATTCGATCTAAATTCTTATAAACAATAATCTATTCCAGGAATACTTCAAGGATCTCAGCAACCCAGCGTTCACTACATACCTGGCGTTGGTCCACACTCGCTTCTCAACCAACACTTTCCCAAGCTGGGAAAGAGCCCATCCTTTGAGGTTACTCTTTCTATATTTAATTTTTAACCTCTATACCGTCCAGTTTTGTATATTCTTTTCAAGTAAATCTATCAAAATATTCAAAAATCCGCTCTGTATTTATAATGTAAAGGTATAACGAGCAACAAATATACTTGGAGTACAGTCATATTATTGGGATTGAAAAAACGAAAATTAAATTCTTAGTCACTTACTAACCTATTCAACTACTTAACCTGATATTAACCAAATAATTAAAATACACGAATGAATCGTGATATATCATGTGATATATAATTTTTTATTAACTATAAAACATTGATATAAAATTTACCTTTACTATTCTGATTACTAGGGCCCAGATAAATATGTATTAAAAAATCTAAAATATGGAAAAAATATGGAGTATAGAATTAAATACTTTCATAATTAAACATTGTTTTACTATAAGAAAAGGGTCACTCGTGACGTACATCGTTAAGATACATTTAAAAAACGATGAAAAAAAGTAGCGAATTATTTATTTCAACAAAAAATAACAGTTTTATTCAACTGCCATTACACTAGCCTTATCAAATTGGTTGCAATGATTTGCTTCTTTAAATTATCAAAATGAAAACTGACCATTTGGTCGACATATAGCATTATATCTGCTGATTGGTCTCATCTCAAGTCACATGACGTGATGGGTGCATACTTTAACATGCTTAATTCAGTAATTGTGTAAGCCACGTCTACAGCCCCCGAAATTTTCGCACAAAATTTTGTTAATTTTTTTAGCGTATTAAATCCTTTCTTTTTATCCAAAACATTAGTGGCGGGAACGTAAATTTGATGTATTTTTGTGAATATATGGATGATTGTGACATTTTCTTGTAAAATATGGACATAACTTTGAAATATGGTAAAATATGGAAAATAAAAGTTGGTTTTTCACAGTCTAAATATGACAATCCATGTAAAAAACACATTCTACACCGAAAATCGCGTAAATTAAAAATATGTATTTACATATTAATCCGGGCCCTACTGATTACATTTAGTTATATAGTGTAAATATTATTATTTTTTTTGTATTGTACTGATACTATGTTATGTTACATCTACAGAGTGCTTGCCCACAATGGAGAAATAAATACATTACGAGGTAACGTCAACTTAATGAAGGCCCGGGAAGGTGTCATGAAGAGTGATATTTTTGGAGATGGTGAGAGCCTTTTTATTATTTGTGGCCAGACCTTTAAAAAATATATATAAAAACTCCTTGTTCTGACCTATTTTGTCTTACAGAACTAAAGAAGCTCTACCCGGTGGTCGAACCCAACTTATCTGATTCTGGCTCAGCTGATTGTGTGCTTGAATTCCTCCTACACTGCGGTCATAGATCTCTACCGGAAGCTGTGATGACCATGGTACCGGAAGCATGGCATAATGACGTCACCATGCCCGCGGAGAAGAGAGATTACTACCAATGGGCAGCTTGTGCCATGGAGCCGTGGGATGGACCGGCTTTAGTGTCGTTTACTGATGGAAGATATATTGGTATAATAATAACAATTTATTAACACCGATGAAATAATGTACATAATTTGTTTTTAGCTTAATAACTAAATCTAGGGTTATTACGTTGTCATCTTTCGTAATAGACCTGTGTCTCGAAAACTAATATAAATTGTGATATTGTGGTATGTTGTTAATTATATCTAACTAAGATTAAAAGGATGTTTTCTTCCTGTAAAAATTTGGTTCTACACTCTATCTGTGAATTTCATTGCAGTTCTTCTATATACTTTATTTTAATCACTGTGTGTGAGTCAATAAATGACTTAAGATCTTCTAATCTCTATATCGAGTAGTATAAATGACTTGGTCATCATGTTTGTATGTTTGTCTTGTTCTCAGGCGCCATTCTGGACAGAAATGGTCTTAGACCATCCAGGTTCTATGTGACTAGTGAAAACATTCTTGTGATGGCCTCGGAAGTGGGAGTCTATGATGTTGATCCGGAGAAGGTTATACTAAAGGTATACATGACATAAGTTATTTACTATCTATGTTACATTGGCTTGATAAAAATAAGGGTTTACAATAGGTAATGAAAAAATAAATATCGTTTGACTTTGTATATTAATGTAGGCAGATAATATTTAAAACAATCATCCCCTTACTTTTAAAAAATTCTTATTATACTATCTTTCCAATTTTTATAAAATTTGAGAAAATATGTGGTAGGAATATAAATCAGAATAAGCGATGGACCCGGCACCCGTACTGTGAATCCATGGAATGCTGAGGGGTTTCGTCTCTAAAAAAAATCAACATTTGGAAAAAAAATTGGGAACCTCTCTTCTATATATATATATATATATATATATATATATTTATACAGGATGACTGGTGAATTACTATCGATACTTGAGGACGTGATATTTGACGATCATATATGACAAAATAAAAATTAATATAACATAAATATTAATAAACTTCTAAGTAAAGTTAACCAAAAGTTGTGTAATTAATTACGCATCGTGTGAACACCCTACAGATTAGGTATACACACACACTCACACATACGCGTGCGGCGGCGTGGTGTTGTATCAGCACGCCGGCGCACGCGTCCACACTTGGAACACTTGGAACGTGTCAACACTTTATTTATTTATACGGAAATTTTGTCAAAAATTAAGTGCCTATTTTTTTTACATAATTCGAATGAGAATCATGTACCGAGTACTCTCCTCAAATATTGATAGTAATTCACCAGTCACCCCGTATATACATTTCAAAGTTTTCTACATTCTAAAATTAAGAAATAAACAAGTCATAAATTTAATTCAAATAAGAATATTCTCTTGTATTATATTAATATTGTAATGCATTATTACAGAGCCGTTTGAAGCCAGGCCGCATGTTGTTAGTGGACACCATGGAGAAAAAGATCATACAAGATGTGGAACTGAAGATGAACATCGCTAGGAGCAGACCACACTCACAGTGGCTCAAGGAACAGGTATGTACTGACATATACAGGTATATACAGATATATACAGGTACATACAGATATATAGTCTATTGATTTTGAGTTAATTTATGTCTACAATACTATACTTGTGACTATACATATTAATATTTTAAACATATTATACTTTTTAAGCTAAATTAATAGCTGTATAAGAAATATAAATTTACTATTTTCTATGTATATATGTATACTTAGATTATATAATAATAATACATATATATAAAAATAATTTTCGAATATAATTTTTCTGCTGCTATTTTGATGTTGGATCACATAAAATATTTATTATAGATGGTGAGTGATAAGATGTATATAAAAATCATTTTAATAACATAACTTATTGTATTTATTTGTTAATAATTTCAATATATGCTAATATAATATGTGTTTTCTTTGTGTGTAGATAACAATGGAGGATATTTACAAGTCGGTCTCTGAGACCGATTTGTCGACTAATGGTTGTGTGAATGGAGCTATATCAGGTCTAGGGGACAAGAGGCTCGGGCTGTTTGGATACACTATAGAGTCCATCAACATGCTGCTACTACCTATGATACAGAACAAGTATGATAAATATATAATTATATATACACATATTATTAGAGCTATTATCATTTCTTTGCTGAATGTAAAATTGTTAAATATTATAACGCAATAGATTTTAAACAGAAAACTACTTTTAATTACATATAGACGTATAACTGAGAACACTTTGCATATACTATAACCTTCTTTGACACTTATACTGTTTTAATTGTATGTTTTATAGTAATGGTAACTTTTAACATCAGATTATTCCAAAGGTTCTACTTGTCGCTTAATTTTAATTATGAATAAATTTCAAAAGATACAAAAATCTTAAAATAGATTTTCAGCTTGTGTATTGCAGAATTGTTATTTCATAATGATTTCTAAAGTAGAGAAACACCCACGTTCAATGTCATTTAACGACTGCGGTTATTAGAGGTCGAGATGCACACATGCTAAGTGGTTTTCTACTAACTATGGCTCTCTGTAAAGTAGACTTATTTATTATGCATGCGGAGTATACCTTTAAGTAGTTGTTACACTGTACCCTAGATTATAGATACGTATTTTACATTGTATTGGTGTAAACAATTGTTGGTAAAATAAGATAAATAATGTATAATACTTTAAGTCGCTTTTATAAGCACGCTACTTGTATTGATAGTCTAAGATCCTAATAGTAATATTTGTATTACAGGAAGGAGGCTCTCGGTAGTATGGGTAACGACGCGCCCCTAGCCTGTCTGTCTCGCTTCGAGCCGCTGCCTTATGACTACTTCAAGCAGCTGTTCGCGCAGGTCACCAACCCACCCATAGACCCATTCCGGTACAAAAAAGACTTTACTTCATATATTTATTTATTATTAGGGAAACATACAGTATGCTGTATGTTATATAGTATATTACAACTTAATATAATAATCATATTTTGACAGTTATGCCACTTAAGTTTCCACAACTGTTTTTACGGGGAAGTGGACTAATTTTGATGTAACCTAAAATACAACTATTAATTAATTAAAAATATGTGATTGATAAGTTAACATGAGACAGCTATATCTATGACACATGTCTGTATTTGTTCGCAGGAAAACAATGTTATTGAATAGATTCAATGTAATAAGTAATAACTAATGAGTATTCTTAATGTTGCGATATATTAACGAAAATAAATTTTATGTGATTAGTGATATTATACTTATACATAGGAAATTTTATTAATATATGTCACAAGGACGTCCCTGATATAAAGCACGTTCAATATAAAAACTTCAGATCACTCTAGTGTTAAATTATTTCTAAATACGAATAACATTGAGTATTGACCATTATACATATGAGTTCTGTATAGTTTTAATATCAGTTACTTATGAACAAACTAAGGTTCCGTTGTAAAAACAGCGCCGGGGGAGGCTTACTAAGGGATTTGGGGAGGGGGGAGACATTTCCATCTCACCTATATACTATACTAGCTGCGCCCCGCGATGCTACCCGCGGATTTCCGGGATATAAAGTAGCCTGTCTTATTCCTGGACGTCAGCTTCCTGTATACAAAATTTCATCCAAATCGGTTCAGTCGTTTGAGCGTGAAGAAGTAACAAACATACACACACACTCACAAACTTTCGCAATTATAATATTAGTAGGATTGCACAACCCCCCCACTTCTTTCACCTCCCGGGTAGGCGTGTAGTAAGTCAAGTCTTATTTGTCTTTTCCAGTGAGAAGATCGTGATGTCCCTAATGTGTCCCATCGGTCCGGTGGCTAATATTCTTAATCCGGGCGCGGAGTTCGTACACCGACTGTTTCTACCACAGCCTGTACTGTCCATACCTGACCTTAAGGCGCTCATCGCTACCACGCATCGCGGCTGGAGGGTAAATATAGCTGGGAAATATACTACTTGGATAGCAGAACTATGGAATTTTATTCACTTTAAGCAACAGTAGAACAACCTCTTCTATAGATAAGTGCAATAACTCGTGTGTAGTTCAGCCATTTCCGAAGTTGCTAATAGTTGGCGCCCATCGTGGGCGCTGCTTAAAGGAGTAATTACTAATTAAAGACTCAGAAAAAAATTAGTGTTGTGTAGAGACCTAGGTGTCGATTTTAATTTCATTTATGTAGGATAGGTTTCAGATATTTTTCACTAGGTGAAAAAAAATAAAAAAAAATTTAATCTTAAAGTAGGCAAGAAACAAAATAAATTTTTAAATCTCTGGTCTAGTTTCACGATGTTAATTCTCCTTAAGAGCAAACAACAATAATTCTTTTAATAGCAAAATGTCTACTGAATAACTACTCTCTTACTACAAGTCACCATCGCTACAATACACTCATAGCGTTTTCAGTTTTTCGCCCATAAATCTTCGCATACGATAGTATCAATGTAGGTTTATGAATGAAAATGTGTAAAATATCTGTATGTAGTTGATTCAAACTACGTAAGAATTTATATGTATGTTTCAGACGAAGGTGATCGACTGTACGTTCGATATATCCGACGGCCCCATGGGTCTCGAGCCGGCGCTAACTCGACTGGCAGGCGAGGCGCACGACGCGGCGCTGGCTGGCTACCAGCTACTGGTGTTGTCTGACCGACAGGCAGGACCAACCAGGGTGCCTATCAGCTCCTTACTAGCACTAGGTACATACTGATAAAGTGTAAGATATATTATTATTTATCACATCTCGTTACCCCGTGATCATGGTTGCTGCAAAGTAAACGAAACGTCGTGAGTATGTAGTTTTGTATATCCGAAAATATTACTTTCATTTAATTGACTACTCGCGAAAGTCTTAGATCTTACTAAGATACATCACACCGTTGCTGGAAGCACAATCAGATAGCCTGTAATTTCAAATTTTATTTGTTAAACTCTGATTAATTCCTAAGATTATCGCGCTTTGTAATTTCTAATTTTTTAATATACAGGGTGACTGGTGAATTACTATCAATATTTAAGGAGAATACGCGGTACATGATTCTCATTCGAATTATGTAAAACAAATATGTACTTAATTTTTGACCAAATTTCCGTATAAATAAATAAAGTGTGGACACGTTCTAAGTGTTCCAAGTGTGGACGCGTGCGGCGGCGTAGTGTTGTATCAGCACGCCGCCGCACGCGTATGTGTGAGTGTGTGTGTATACCTAATCTGTAGGGTGTTCACACGGTGCGTAATTAATTAAATAACTTTTGGTTAACTTTACTTAGAAGTTTATTAATATTTATGTTATATTAATTTTTATTTTGTCATATATGATCATCAAATATCACGTCCTCAAGTATCGATAGTAATTCACCAGTCACCCTGTATATAATTTTCCAATAAAACTGCTGTCAAAATTAATTCAGCCAATCATTATATAAAACGATACGACCATACGGTCCTATCATATATGTACGTATATAAACACCTGTATATTTGTACCTGTATATTGTACCTGTATATTGCATTTCTTATCGCTGTTTTGAACACAATTATGGTTGCTTTGAGGGTATGTTTTAAATTTCTTGTTTAAAGCAAAATTTAATACATTAATTATGATTGTCAAAGTTTTAATTTTAGATAATTGTTTATAGTCATAATTTTCTCAAGATTCTTATAAAGATTTGAAACTTATGACTATTTCACAAACGTATCAATACAACACTTGCCTACTAATAAGAAAAATTCTACATAAAGACATCCACTCTAAAATAACTTTCACAAAAAAACACCAAATCCAAACAAAAATGTTACGACGAACAAATGACATAAATCTATATGCCCCACGAACTAATTACGGAAAAAGAACTTTAATGTATCAAGGTGCTCAGTTCTACAATAAACTCCCATCAGATATAAAACGTGCTAAATCTTTGTCTACATATAAAAGACTTTTAAAATTCTATATTTTAAAACAAAAGAAATAATAATATAATAATAAAATCTTCATTATAAAAAAAGACACTTCCAGTTACGCTCACTCTGTAATGTTTGTTGTTTAGTATGAATAATGTTTTAACTTTACCCTCTGTTTTTTTTGTTAACGCTAGCCAATTATATAATTTTTTTTTAATGTAAGGTACATTAGTTTCTCCAAAGTGAATTGTATTCTTGTGAGAATTAATAAAGATATCTCAAACCGTAAGTAAGTGAAAGGTAATTTCTTTTTGAGAAATAAAGTATTTTTAACCATATTTTATTATATTATAGGAGCGGTCCATCACCACTTAATCGAGACCCGTCAGCGCATGAAGGTCGGGATCCTCGTGGAGACGGCTGAGGCCAGGGAGGTGCATCACATGTGTGTCTTACTAGGTAACTAACACTCCTTATCAACAACAAAATACATATATAAAAGAAAATTATATTAGTTACACTATATACAACTCAAGAACGGCTGTAGAGATATAGTTGTAAATTGGCTGGGAGATAGCTTTATAACCAGGAGACGAACATAGGATATTTAATTCCGTTCGATCGAATAAAAGTTAATAAATTCCAATATATTGTTAAATATGGCCTCTAGGACGGAATAGAGTTCATCCGATCAGCTGTATATATATTATTAATTCCGAAATTATATATTACTAGCTGCGCCCCACGGTGTTACCCGCGGATTTCCGGGATGTAAAGTAGCCTATGTGTTATTCCTGGACGTCAGCTTCCTGTACACAAAATTTTATCAAAATCGGTTGAGCCGTTTGATCGTGAAGAAGTAACAAACATACAGAGACACTCACAAACTTTCGCAATTATAATATTAGTAGGATATATTTTACACGTCATTTTTCCCAGGTTATGGAGCCGACGCCATATGTCCCTACCTGGCGTTCGAGCTAGCGTTCTCACTCCGCAATGACAACCTCATAGACCCGAACTTAACGGACAGCGACATCTACCTGGCATATCAAAAGGCCATAGAAACAGGTCTGGCCAAAGTTATGGCCAAGATGGGCATCAGCATGCTGCAGTCATACAAGAGCGCTCAGATCTTTGAAGCGGTCGGCTTGAGTGAAGAAGTTATCGACAAGTGCTTCAGAGGCACACAGTCTAGAATCGGTATTTATATTGATTTAATTACCTCATACAATTTTATAATGTTCCATACAAGCTTATAGACATTTTTGTAGTATGTATTTTTAAAAAAATTGTTAGATGATATTATCCCTATGAGATATAACCACCGATCTTTCATTATTTAACGTGCAAGTATAGAGAATACTAGTTATATATTTTACCAAAATTTTATATATTATTATATTAACTTCATCCCAATGTTCCAGGTGGTATTACCTTTGAGATTCTGTCTCAGGAGACTTTCGACCGACACGCACTCACGTACGGCAACTGTAACGATATGCTGGTGTTACGGTGAGAATATGATATATTAGATAATACAATTATTATACTGTTTTGATTAGAAAAAAATAGATAGTACAACCAACTAAGTAAATATTCAGTTCGCTGTGTTGTCAATATATATGAGAAAGTCTTAATGGATAATTTGAATGTATGTTTATAACAAATTACAAAAGCCTGTATTGTTGCTCGAGATGGTACGTTTCTAACTATATAAATAAATTTAACTTGTACGATAATCTGTATTCATATTGATGAAGTTATACTGATAATATCTCTATATAATGTTGATCTAATATGTATGTTGGTATGATAATATCCATTGTTCCACAGTAACCCCGGTAATTACCACTGGCGAGCCGGCGGGGAGAAGCACATCAACGACCCGCTGTCCATAGCCAACCTACAAGAGGCAGCCGTTAATAATACGACCTCCGCTTATGATAGATTCAGGTGAACATATTATATTTGTAGTATATAATTAGAATTAACGAATTTAACTACATAATGATGAACTCAATTGTAGTGTATGTCTAATTGTATTATTCGTTATGACTATGATATAAAAAACATATATATTTTTAATATTGTAATTAGAATCCTATATCTGCCTTTGTCGTGATTATAAGAAGTCAAACACTAGTTGCAAAAATAAACCTTGATTTATTCTTAACTATCTTATGTATATCACTTATTATCACTCATTACTTGTCTAAATCATCGATTAGTCATAGTAATGTTGATATTTTATCGCCCATAGAGAGAGCGCTCTAGAATCTATCCGCGCCTGTACACTCCGAGGTCAACTTGAATTGGTTACTTTGGATGAACCCCTGCCGCTGTCAGAGATAGAACCGGCTTCGGAGATAGTCAAGAGATTCGCTACTGGTAATTATATTCATATCAATATATCCTACATAATTATAAAATTAAACACTAGTTGAATGATGACTTATAGTCATGATGTTTTCAATTGGTCACTTAATACTATTTTGCCTATCATTTCATTGCACAGTTATATTAAATGCAGCCGTATATGAAAATCGCACTATCTTGATAAATAAGGCTAAAGCCTTTATATAAAACATCTCTTATCTATGCAATAGGGGTTGTAAACGAGTCGAGTCATTGGCTATCATAGAACAAAACAATCTTCATTATATATGAGTATGAAGCTAGTCTGTTCGTTTTCCAGGTGCGATGTCTTTCGGTTCAATATCTATGGAGGCTCACTCTACACTGGCCATCGCTATGAACAAGATCGGAGGAAAATCAAACACTGGGGAAGGAGGGGAAACCGCTGAGAGGTATCTCAACCAGGTCGGTAATAATATGATAGAAAGTAAGAGAATTAAATAAATGTATAGTAACACAAAGAAATTGCTCAATAAGTTACAGTAGCTAAAATCAATAGAAATGTATTTAATTCATAGCCAGAAATATTGGAAAATAGGTCGTTAGTATACTTGAATGTTATGCATCTTTATATGATAGTATAATAATTATAATGTAAAGATGTCACAGGTAGCGCCATCTATGAGTCTAGAAGTGAAACGTGTCTATAGTGTCTATTGCCTTAAAAAACTGTCAACCGACATCTTTTAATAACGAAAACCAATATATAATATTTGATGTATCGAGTATGTAAGTATAATTATTATTGTTCGCAGGATCCGGACCACAACATGCGGTCAGCTATCAAGCAGGTTGCGTCTGGCAGGTTTGGTGTGACGGCCTCATACCTCGCACACGCTGATGATCTGCAAATTAAGATGGCGCAGGGAGCCAAGCCGGGGGAGGGAGGGGAACTACCTGGTATGTATCCAGCTATTCTATATAAGTGGTAGAGCTAATTGTAGTAAAGTTACTACAGCTCGAACATGGGCAGGCTCGACCGGGGAAGTACCACCCTCACACTGAAGATCGCCGTGAAGCAGCCTTCAATGGCTGCTTTTTATCCAAAGAGTGTGGCAGCCGGTTGGCCTTTTCTTTCCTGCCATCTCCTTATCTTGAATAACCAAAGTTATCAAAACACGCACAACATTATTTATTTATTTATTTATTTCGGTAATCCAACAGTGCTTATAATAATGACATGTTAACCCTTAATTTGGCAGAGGTTCAATGTGTTATATATATGTAAAATTTATGTATATATATAAGTTTAGGGTACAAAGGAATCCAGAAAAAATATAAAAAAAATGTTGCGACCTTCAGGTTTCCAGGAAACCAATGTTCATCAGAGTGAACATTGCCAAATCTGTCGAGAAATACCCCTTTATTGTAATGTTTACTGTGATGAACATAATCAAATTAGGGTACACATTCAAACAGGTAGTGCGGTTTCCAAAATATTTTTATTTATATTAAAAACAAAACAAAGACATAACAAAATATCTTTTATAACATATTAGAGCTTTCTGTTGCCTGCCTTTCTTCCTTTATTAGCAATCATCGTCTCATCTATACTAAATTTGATTTCATTTTCTTGCAGCAAACAGTTTTTTCTTATTTTTTCTGCTATTGGTCTTACTTTGTAATATCTATCAGTATCTTCTAAGCTATTATCAGCAAAGTGTAGAAATCTACGAATCTGTTGATAGAGTTTTAAACTCATTAGACCTGCTATCGGAGCATACCGAAATCTACTGCTCCAACAGTCTAGGTAAGTAGGCATTGAGACAATACCTATAAGTATATTGATAGCTATAAAATCACGCATTTCATCTTCTGTCACTTGAATAGATTTGCCAGTTTTTTGAACAGAGTATAGATTTGACTGTACGGTAATATCGGTCACAATGCCTGAAGGAAAAAAAATAATTAAATATTGTAGGAAATCTGCAGTGGGCAGTAAAAAGGCATTCATTATATTATGGTCTTGGTTTTCTTCAATTGTAGCTTGGTGACGGAAGGTGACGCTTTTTTCCATTTATAGGTTAGTACGAATTTCGGAACTTTCTTTCATCTTTAAGCCAGCACTGGAGTAATGTGCCTTTGGGCTCGAGTTTTCCTGGTAGTACTTTCAGGAGTTGATAAAGGGGCTTCAGACGGAAGAGATGGTATAGAAGATAAGGAAGGTATGTTCTCGTAGTTCGGTTCTCTAGTCGGCGTAGCTGGGCAAATTTAACGTAGAACTGAAGTCAATTGCAATGATGTTTCTGTAAAGTCAAATTCAGGCGGATCGTCCCCAGTGTCATGATCTTCAGCATCAGGTTCAGGACTGCTTAAAATATGCATTCGCTCTAAAGATCAATCTAGAGATGGTGATGATGATAAAGCTAAACTTGGAGTATGCAGATCTGTCAATTCATTGTCCATGTCGGACCTATCACTTGTATCTGAGGGAGCATGCTGTATAGGCACAAGCGCCAATATTTTTGCCGTGTGTCCATGCAAAGTATGCTGTTGGCAACAGAAAATACCGAAATAAGCAAAATAAAACCCATAACTTCAAAATGTTAAAAAAAAGACAACTATTTTGGATTAATTTATCATTTAAGGTATTTGGCATCGTTTACCGTGATGAACAAATAAAATTGTAGGTACTATATAGGTTATTTGGCAATGTTCATCACAATAAACATAAGCTTTTGGCGGGTCACAAAACTTGAGGATTCACATAAAGGCACATAATTCACACACCAAAATATAGCAAATAGTCTAGATAAGTTAGTGAAAGCATTAAAATACTTGAAACAATAGAAAATCAAGTACAATCTTTATATTTACCTTGCGGAACATAGACGACCTGCGTGGCGCTGGCATTTTGCTTTGACAATAACAAGTAAAAGCGATGTTAGGTGCGTAGACTATTTTTTTACTATTAAAAAATATTATATACGGTATGATAATATTACAAAAAATACGAATTTGGTCTAAAAATATAACGAAATCATTTTTTTTCTCATATGTTTCTCACAGTGAACAAAGTCAAATTAAGGGTTAAAGTATAAATAAACAATATTAAGACCAATACAGGATTACACAGTTAAAGTAAAATTATAAACATAAACGTAACTTAAGTACAATTGATATTGGATAACTAATCTAATTAGCAAGACTGTTCATTGTGTGAGCGAATGTGTGTGTGTGTGTGTGTGTGTGTGTGTGTGTGTGTGGGTGTGAGCATGTCGTGTGTGGGTAAGTGTGTATGCATTTGTGTGTTTTAATAGTAAATTAAGATGTCACTTGTTTTTTTAAAGCCTTTTTAAATTCAGATTTTTTCATATTGAATATGTCTAAGTAAGAAAACGAGTCATTATAGGTAGTGGCTAAACGATTTACTAAGCAGTTGCTTCCATATTTTGTGCTCGTCACCAGTGTATCAAATAATTTTGTCAGACGAGTACGTCGATTTGGTACTCGGAATTGTACCAAAGATAATAGTTCGTTGCAGTCTATTTCGTTTGACAGAAGTGAATAAAGCATCATCACGTCATAGTGCTTGCGACGCGTCTCTAACGAATGCATGTGATAATGACGGCAAGCCTCAGTATAGCTATCAAATAACTTATGGTCTTTGTAGCTTAGAAATTCCGTAAATTTTATTTGAATGCTTTCAAGTCTGTCTTTATAAATTGTATACTGCGGTGACCAAATTGTGCATGCGTACTCTAACAAGCTGCGAACATATGCAAAGTATAACATTTTAATACAATCGACACTAGAGAAAGACTGACATACACGTTTTATATATCCCAATTGTCTATAAGCTTTATCTGTTACCATTTGTATGTGCTCATTCATTGACAATTTAGAGTCTAACTGAACTCCAAGATCGCGTATAGAATTGATTTTGGGAATTTCAATATTATTAATGTTGTATGCATAATTATAATTATTTATTTTACGAGTAAAGGTTATGTGAGCGCACTTTAATATATTAATTTTAATTCTATTATTATCGCAATATTTTGCAAAAGTGTCTAGGTCACGTTGAACTAAGTGGCAATCCGAAAGAGATTTTATACTTAAAAAAATTTTGGTGTCATCAGCAAACATAAGAAACCGGGATTGCTTTATAGATGTATAAATATCAAACACATATACGTTGTACAGCAGTGGACCCAGTATTGAGCCCTGAGGGACGCCAGAGCTTGTAGACACGAAATCACTGCATGCACCACCCAGAACCACCGCTTGCCTTCGTTTTGCTACATAGGAACAAAACCATCTATGCAAGTCGCCACGAATGCCAAGAGCCTGTAGCTTCTGAAGTAAAATAATGTGGTCTACGCGGTCGAAGGCTTTTTCGAAGTCAATATAAATAGCGTCGACTTGATACTTTTCATCCATTGACGATAAAACATAATTTGTAAATAGCGACAGGTTTGTTGACGTTGAACGTTTGTTCATAAAACCATGTTGTTCAAGAGGAATAGATTTATGAATAGTGGGTGCAATTAGATTGATCACTGCTTTTTCGAAGATTTTGCTTATTGTATTTAGGATAGATATGGGTCTGTAATTTTGGATATTGTTTTTTAGTCCCTTTTTGTGAAGTGGTTTAATTAATGCCTCTTTCCACTTGGAGGGAAACGAAGCAAACTCGTTAAGAGATTTATGAAATATAATTGACAAGGGTACAACTAAATTTTCGGCGCAGCGAATGTAGAATATAGGAGGAATTTTGTCACTACCACAACCTTTTGAGGGATCCATTTTCCTTATTATTGATAAAATAGAATCTTTTGTGATTGTTATGTTAGCAATATGCTCTCCAGATTCAGGTACAGATGAGTTTAGACTATCGTATTTTGCTGCAGGCTTACAAAAGGTGCTTTCGAAAAATTTACTAAATCCAAAACAAATGTCATGAATATTGCTAAATTGTGTCCCTGATAGAATCATAGTTTTAGGATATTCTTCTCTTTTATTGCGTAGACACCTTTGGTACCACCAAAAATATTTAGGGTTTTTCTTGATTAAATTTTGTATGTTTTCCTTATAGGAACTGAAGCATGTAGATTGTAAGATTTTCTGTCGATGGCGTAAAAGAGAAAACTCATCATAATCTCTAGGATTTTTATACTTTTTCCAATTTTTATGAGCCCGTATTTTATTTTTAATTATATTAATTAAAGGTCTACTGTACCAAATAGGATATCTTAAAGTATTAGGAAGTGTATTCTGGGGTATATAAGATTTTATTATGGTATTTATTTCTTCATAAAAATTATGGACAACATTGTCTATCGAATCACCGATTAAAATTGTAGGCCAGTCTATATGTGCTAATGCTTCATTAACTACATTGTAATCTGCCTTGTAATAATTATATTTCTTCACAGGTTTAACGTTGAGTTTCTTAAATATTATATTAGCAGCATCTATTTCCAAGCTAGGGTGATATTTATCCTCTCTTACAAGTGATGTATTAGAGCGCTTAACAATTATAGGTATGGTACTTAATATCAAGTCTAATGTTTTCCCAGTGTCATTTAATATATCATTGTATTGTGTTAAATTATTCAGGCTGCAGAAGTTAAGGAATTTTGATGTAGTATTCTGCAGAATAACAGTTCCCTGGGTATTTTGTATAGGCGTCGAATTTTTCCAAAGAACGTTGGTTAGGTTGAAATCACCTGCTACAATAAAGTTATCGAAAGGTTTTAATTTAAGAATTTTACTTAGAGACTTTTCTACTGCTTCAATACGTTTGGCCTGCAGCGCGTCCGGAGGAATGTAAAATACACCAATATGAAGATCGCCATTGCTATGGAATACTCGAGACGGTATTGTAACCCAAATAACTTCAACCCCTGCACAAGTCCAGTCCGTCCTTTCCTGCGCCTCTAGGTAAAGTTTAGAACATAACATAACCCCTCCACCCATAGTCTTGTTCGAAGTTGATACACACCTATCCATCCGAAATAAATCGTACCTATCATCACAAAGTTCACCGTTGTAAAAACTTTCATTTAGCCAAGTTTCTGTCACTAAAATTATATCATATTCGTTAGCTAAAATATTTTGACGTAGCTCCTCTGTCTTAGTGCGAAGACCACGTACATTTTGGTAAAATAACAGAAGTGAATTAGGCATTTTTAATTGCATTAAAAATATAAAAAATATATATCGTATTTATAAGGAACGTGTAGTCTTCAAATAATTTAGAATGTAGAAATATTATAAGTGGAGTGACGAATTGTGAGTATTGTAATTTTAATTTGTTAAGTGTAATAAGTAATAAGTGTAATTGTTGAAATGATGAACAGTCTTTTACAAAATACATAATACAAAGCATAAATAAAAAACAATTAAGCAACAGTGCATTTGATAAAAAAGAGTAAACTACGTAATTTTTATGAGACTTTTTTCGGAAGCTATGGAAAAAACCGGGGATTCTTCGTTTCTTCGTAAAAAAATATATTACAGTTTCTTACCCATACAAATTTATATCCCTTTGCCAAAGCAAGCTCTTTGGTTTTCTTGAGTAAATGCTTATTGCTGGGTGTTAAGTGCTCGTTCACAAAAAATTTCTTAGGAGCCCCTTCAAGATCTATATTTTTTGTATTAATGCCTCGAAGTTTACGAAGTCCAGATAAAATTGAGTCTTTGATATTCCGGTTCTTTAATTTTGCAACAAGGGATTTTGGTCTGCCAGGGATATTCTTTTGCGGTTGAACTCTCGTGGCAAATTCGACTTGATCGGGTGTAAGGGCCACACCAGCATACTTAGCGATCTTGATGACTATATCTGTAGGTGATTCTCCTGGAAGCACCGGTAAACCTACAACTTCAATATTACTCATTCTAGACCACTGTTGCTGATTATTAACCTGCGCCTGTAAGTCCAATAGTTCTTCCTTAGTTTCCTTTGTTTTATTTTCCAGGTCCTTGAGGTTTAGCTCCAAAACACTATATTCCGTTAAAATTTTATTTTGAGTGTCCTCAAGAGATTTTAATTCAGAAGCTATCTCTTTTCGTATTTGAGCTAACAAGGTACATTTTAGGTCATCGAAAATTTTCTCCACTATAGGTTTTAATTTACTATCTATAATAGATTCGAAATTTTGAAGAAATTCAGATCCTTTGTCGTAGTTTGTGTCTCTCCCCGTGTTCATAAGTGTATGCTCAGAAGGGGATGTATCTGGTGTGGTTATCAGGCTATTTTCATCACTCCCGGAAGGTTGGGATTGATGTGAATGGAGCTTTGTACTTTTGTTGGGTTTCTCATGATTATATTTTTGTCGGACATCATTACATGATAAGCATTTCCACTGGGAGCGGGGGGTATTTAATCCCTTATCAATCTTAACGCACTCAATGTGGTAATAATGCCCGCAAACTGTGCATTTAATCCGTTTTTGAGAAACTGCGATGTTTCCTTGGCATACTTTACATGTGTAACCCATTGTTTTATTATTTTCGGAAGATATGTTTTAATATTAAAATAACAAAAATAATAAAATTAATAAAAAAGAAAGAATATAATAAAAAACAAACGAAAAGGTGAACAAGATCTGATAAACTCGGTTGAGATTTGAACCCCGAACTTGTGGCACTTGTCTGCTCTTAAAACACACTGCGCCAGTGACACTACAATCAATTGCTTGAATTATGCGTGTGTTTTTAGCTAGCACTAATAGTTGTCGGTTTTTATATAAGTGGGTAGTATTTGACCGTTCCGGCTACGTCTGCACTTTAAACACTGATACTGCACTTTAAACACTAATATAGTCAATCAAGTCAGTGGATTTTATCAACGGAGATGTGTTTTACAGTTTGGGTTTAAAATTAGAACACTTGGTGAAACATAACACACTGATTATAAATTGCAAAGTAAGACAGTTACGTTTACGTGTTACTGCGTCTGTGTTTTATACATTATGTTTTGGATGTCCATGGTCGACGGTGACTACTACACATATCAAGTAGACCGTCTGCTTTTTTGTCACCTTTCTAATAAAAACAAATACTACATATAATAATAATAGACACTCAGTCTTTTGGGAGGAATAAACAATCCAAATACCGCTGAAGGGTCTACTGGATAAGGTTTTCCGAAATTTCGTATGGTGTACTGAAAAAAATCTTATTGAAATTAGTCAACCAATAAAGTTGTCGAATTCTTATTTGTTTTACTGAATTACGTATATAAACTGTAACATGTTTGCACAGTTTTTCACGAGTATTAAAAAATATTGAAAACGAATTTTCAATGACACCAAATATCTGTACAACGAGCACTAATACATTATTAATTATATTATATTCCAGGATACAAAGTAACAGAGGAGATAGCTCGCACCCGTTGTTCAGTCCCGGGTGTAGGGCTGATCTCTCCGCCTCCTCACCACGACATATACTCCATCGAGGACCTCGCCGAGCTGATCTACGATCTCAAATGTGCCAACCCTAAAGCACGCATCAGTGTCAAACTGGTCTCGGAAGTTGGAGTGGGGGTAGTGGCTTCCGGTGTCGCTAAGGTGAGGGAAGAATTAAAATTGACTTGTGAATATATTGTAAATATGACAAAGAACTAGAGATGACGAGATTACAAATGTTTACTAAAATGTAACAATATAGAACAGTTATATAGGAGACTTTTAACAAAATTAAATAACAACTTCATTAAATTATAACATGTAACAGAGTGTAACCCACCACCCTATAAATTTCTTTCTACACAAGCGACATCTAGTAAACAGCACAAGTAAGAAACAATTTTCATTTCATTCGCCCTTGAACAAATAGCAAATATATCCTACTAATATTATAATTGCGATAGTTTGTGAGTGTGTGTATGTTTGTTACTTCTTCAAGCTCAAACGGCTGAACCGATTTTGATAAAATTTTGTATACAGGAAGCTGACGTCCAGGAGTAAGACATAGGCTACTTTATATCCCGGAAATTCGCGGGTAACAGTAATAATATATTATTATGTGTATAGGGTAAAGCGGAGCACATCGTGATATCTGGTCACGACGGAGGTACGGGCGCTAGTTCGTGGACAGGCATTAAGAGCGCCGGGCTGCCTTGGGAGTTGGGAGTGGCTGAGACACATCAGGTGCTCGTGTTGAACGATCTGAGGTCGCGGTACGTTGGACATATACATTAAATAATATGTATGAAAAACTCGTCACCAGTTTATCAGAGCCCACTACTGAGCAAAGCCCTCTCTGACATGGAGAAGGTTTGAGAATTAATCACCACGCTTGCTCAAGACGGGTTGGTATCAAACTTATAATTGTGAAATTATAAGTCCAGGTTTCCTCAATATGTTTTCCTTTATCGTCTGTCAGTGATATCTAAATATTCATAGAAAGTACATATGACTCGGAAAAATCACATTGGTACTTGCCAGGATCGAACCTGCGCCTTTCACCACTAGGCCACCACTGACTGTTAAGTGAACTAACTGAATGAAAAACTATTAAAAAATAATTTTTGTAGTGTCCTAACTACATAACTTACGTAACAAGTTTACGTATTTTAACCCTCTTATTTTGTTATTTTATATCCTATCTTGTAGTACGATCCAAAAACATTATTTAAGCTTACATATACAGGGTGACTGGTGAATTACTATCAATATTTAAGGAGAATACTCGGTACATGATTCTCATTCGAATTATGTAAAAAAAATAGGTACTTAATTTTTGACCAAATTTCCGTATAAATAAATAAAGTGTGGACACGTTCCAAGTGTTCCAAGTGTGGACGCGTGCGGCGGCGTGCTGACACAACACTACGCCTCCGCACGCGTGTGTGTGTGTGTATACCTAATCTGTAGGGTGTTCACACGATGCGTAATTAATTACATTACTTTTGGTTAACTTTACTTACAAGTTTATTAATATTTATGTTATATTAATTTTTATTTTGTCATATATGATCGTCAAATATCACGTCCTCAAGTATCGATAGTAATTCACCAGTCACCCTGTATATACATTAGAAACAAAAAATACAAGTTTCTCATTTTTACACACATTGGGACCATAATTAGTAGTAGGACCTAATAAACTATTCTAATATCCCGGTTTTCCTTACATTATTCTTGTATATATTCCAGTGTGGTGGTTCAAGCTGACGGTCAGATACGAACCGGTTTTGATGTGATAGTGGCGGCTTTGCTTGGAGCAGACGAGGTCGGATTTAGTACCGCGCCATTAATAGCTTTAGGTTAGTACATTACAATATGTAGTTAATATATTAAAATTCACTTAAGTAAGGTAGCAAGTAGAGGTTCCAGAAAAACTATGAAACTTATATGTATATTATAATAAGAATTACATATTAAAACCTATCCCTACTAATATTATAAATGCGACAGTAACTCTGTCTGTATGTCTGTTACGCTTTCACGCCTAAACCACTCAACTGATTTTAATGAAATTTGGTATAGAGATGGAGTTCACCTTGAGAAAGAACATGGGAACACCGGGTACATGGGAACGCGGGTAACACCGCGGGGCGCAGCTAGTAATATTATGTAATATTAATGGGCGTGTAATCTCAGGTTGTACCATGATGAGGAAGTGTCACCTGAACACATGTCCCGTGGGTATCGCGACTCAGGACCCAGTGTTGAGGAAGAAGTTCGCGGGGAAGCCGGAACACGTCATCAACTACCTGTTCATGTTGGCTGAGGAGGTAACCACATATACCACACGACATATATGTAATATATATTATATATATGTACAAAAATACATCTACGTTAGTCAATTTGTAGTAATTTCATTCATTGAATATATAGCTCAAGTGTTTTATAAATAAAAATATAATTCTTACAACTTATAGAAAGGATCTATTTCTTCGAAAATTAAAATATCTTAAGCGGATCATCTATAAAGTTATATCTGAAAGAAGATGTAGAACGTATCTTTTTATAATTTAATCTTCCCTTCTATATTTATAATTTCCTATAATCAGGTCCGTACACACATGTCCCGCGTGGGCGTGCGTAGCTTCCAAGAGCTGGTCGGTCGAACAGATCTGCTGAAGGTGAGGGAGAAGAACGACAACTACAAGGCGCGCCTCCTCAACCTGGCGCCCATACTGAAGAACGCGTTACACATGAGGCCCGGAGTAGACATACGGGGCGGATCTAAACCACAGGTGAACTTTATTAACTTATATCTTCTTCTACCTGGCAATTTTACACCTATAGCCAGGGTCTGCCTTACATGTTGTGAATAGTTTTGGCTATTTGTTTTTACGACCGGCCGCCTGCCTGACATCAACCCTCTTTTTGGGAATCAACATTAATCAGTGATGTCTAAATACTCTTAGAAAGTGCATATGACTCGGAAAAATCACATTGGTACTTGCCCGGGCCGGGATCGAACCCGCGCCCTCGGCAACGAGAGGCGGGCCCTTTAAACACTAGGCCACCACTGTCTAAACTTAATTAACTTATATATCTAACATATATTTTTTTTAATGCAACTCATATTTTTGGATTACTACCCGTTATTTTATTATTTTTAAAACTACATACTCCCGACGTTTCGGTTATTATGCAGCAATCGTAATAAGGGGTAGAGGTGATATAAATTTCACATTTTAAAAATATAAAGCAACGCGTTGTAATCCCAAAATATTAGTTTCATTTAAATGTTACTAGTGAAAGTCTTAGATATCATAAAAAAAATTATTCGCGATTTCGACAGCTGAAATCGGTATCAGAGAAAAATGTAGTGTGTTGAAATAGACATGGCAATAAACCGGTAGTGACATCTATCGTGTGTTACGTGACTTCATACACAATACAAATGTTATGTTATGATTCCGAATACTACATTACTGTAAAGTTTGATCAAAATCCATGAAGTAATTTTTACATGGATGGGCATTAACATTTATAATATAAGTACAATACAAGAACCATACAATATAATACATGGTATAACTATATAACATTAAAAACTTACAGTAGCCGACACCAACTGACGCATGTAATTAAGATACTAAAAGTTACAAAGTATTTCCTCTATAAGATATTCCAATTCCGTTTACAGGACTTCCAACTGGAAAAACGTCTGGACAATCAGCTGATTCAACAGTGTGCGGGAGTTCTGGACGGAACACAACGACACGCACACATACAGATGAACATCACTAATGAAGACCGAGCCTTCACTTCTACACTCTCATATCATATTGCTATGTTAGTACTAAAAATGACTTGTCGAGTTAATCGGAAATTAACATAATTTATTTAATTGTTTGATAGCAATTTCATGTATATTAAATGTGAAAGTAAATTTACATTTAACATAGATACTGATTAAACATCACTAAGGATTGTCTTAGCGCTTCACTATATTTTTTACTCGCAATTATTTGCTACTTGTCCTACAAAATCGTCTACAATGATGGAGTAGAAATTAGTAATGTTAAGAGTTAAAGTAAAAACATATCAAAGTGCTAATACTTATTTTGTAGAGATAATATGGATTTTTCTTTAAAAATATAACACTGTGGAGTACTGCTTTACATATTGTACATTATATATTTAACTAGGTTTCCGCCCGCAACTTCGCCCGCGTTTAGTTCAGTTACATCGCGTTTCCAAGATAACCTTACAAAAGTCTTTGATAAAAACTATCCCATGTTCTTTCTCAAGGTCAACTCTATGTCATTAAAATCAGTTTAGTGGTTTAAGCGTGAAAGCGTAACAGACAGAGTTACTTTTGCATTTATAATATTAGTAGGGATGAATCTTATTAACTATAATGATGTATTATATCTTATAACAGGCAGTATGGCGACTCCGGTCTCCCAGATGGCACTACAGTGGACATCAGCCTCACCGGGTCAGCGGGACAAAGCTTCTGTGCCTTCCTTAGTAAAGGAATTACTGTTACCTTGGAGGGAGACGCCAATGATTATGTCGGTCTGTACACAAGCCTGCGATAGATAGATGTATATATTATATTATACTTTAATAAAACTATGATTAAAATGTCAATATCTGGTTACCGAGCATTGCTCGGTATTTAGGAATTATTAGAATTTATTTCGTGTTTTTTTTTAAATTTCGGTTTGGTATTTTTAAGTAAACACGTTAAGAAGATACAAAACAATATAAATCAACAATTAATTTCTTTGTCTAACCTCAAAACGAACACTCATTGACTTCCCGTTACTTAACAATGCCATCTGCTGTTGTGTCGTTAAAGCAATAAGCAAAAGTAGGATTACTATTTGCCAAAAGATATCAGGAAGAATCATATTTAAAACGCTTCTGTTATTTTTTTTTTTTCATAAAATAACATTTTCTAAAAATGATTCCTAGCTAGATCGATTTATCGCACCCGAAAACCTCCTATATACTAAATGTCATGAAAATCGTTGGAGTTGATTCCGAGATTCCAATTATGTATATATAAATATATATACAAGAATAGAAGAATTGCTCATTTAAGATATAAGAGATAAGATTTTAATTTACTAACGAAAATCTTACTAAATGAAATGCTAAAACTACTGTTTATTTGGATGAAAACAAAAATATATTAGACTTTTTCATAAAGTTATCTTTAAAGTTAAAAGAATATATTATTTTTAATATAATTAATATATATTTTTTCCCAGGCAAGGGTCTGTCTGGCGGTACAGTCATCATCTACCCTCCAAAGAACTCTCCTTTCCAATCTCACTTGAACGTGATCGTCGGTAACGTTTGTTTGTATGGAGCTACTAGTGGAAGGGCTTATTTCAGGTTCATATTTTAATAGTTTCTTTTTAAGTGGTTATATACGTTTCTTTTATACAGACACAATAGTTCTAATACTGTTTAAAGTAAACTTATTTGTATATTTTAATCAAAAAGGCTGAAGTGAAATTTTATTTTATTTGGCTATATTATTTTTTAGGCGCTTGCTTATAGATATTTTTTCAAAAAATATTTCTTAATGAAGTGAATAAATAAAAATTTCTTACCTTATTATATTTCTTCTATTTGTATAATGTTCTATACAAATCATCCTTAAGTGTACCTACATATAACATATACCCCTTAATTTCCTTCAGTTTAATCTCAATAGTTATAATATATCATATATAATATATTCCAGGGGTATAGCGTCGGAGCGTTTCTGTGTCCGTAACTCAGGTTGCGTGGCTGTGTCGGAGGGCGCGGGCGACCACGGCTGTGAATACATGACGGCCGGCAGGGTGCTCATACTGGGACTCGTGGGGAGGAACTTCGCCGCGGGGATGAGCGGTCAGTATACACACACACACACACACACACGTACGCACACTCACACGCACACGCACGCACACACATACACGCACGCACACACACACACACATACACACGCTCACGGTTACATACATGCCTGCAAACTCAACTGATAAGAAAACATGGATACAGATACATTTAAAGAAAATACAAATGTAAATTTTGTTGATCCATTACTCCTAAAAGTGTTGTAGAAAAAGTTTTCTCCATATTTTTTTAGGGTGAATGTGTGTTTATTATTCTATCTCGCAAAAACGACTACTACTGAACTCAAACGTTAATAAAACTCATATAATAAAATTTAATAGTGATTCACTAATAATAGTAACTTATGTGTACATTTTATTATAGGTGGTATAGCGTACGTGTACGACATCGACGGTTCATTCAGGAGCAAGTGTAACCCGGAGATGGTGGAACTACTGCCGCTGGAGATACAAGAAGACTTGGACGAGGTGCAGAAACTACTGGAAGAATTTGTGGAGTATACTGGGTATATATAGAATTTAATATTAATAATAATAGTAATTTATTGATCTCAAAGAAAAACAGGTTACAATTATTTTTCCAGTACTAATTATACACTTACATTAAGTACACAATTATTGTATTATGTTCGTGGTATTTTTTTTTTACCCTGTGCCAGTTAAAAAGATATACAATTACTTTAATGTCACATTTCTATAGTTTGTATTTTTGTTTCCAGATCATTAATAGCTAAAGAACTCTTAGAGACCTGGCCGGAACCAGCTAAGAAGTTCACGAAGGTGTTCCCGTATGAATATCAACGGGCCTTGAAACAGATGGCTCTCAAGCAGACGACGCCCAAGGTTGAAACTAACGGGAAGCTTGAAGAAAACGGAGTCGTTGATATAGAGGAGGCGGTGAGGAACGTGGAGCAAGATAAGAAAAACTTGGAGAAGGTTCTGGATAAGACCAGGTTAGTGTGACAGACCCGGCAGACCCTGGCCAAAGCTGGGAAAATGCCAGGAAGAAGAAGAAGTGTGGAGAGGTCATGATACTGTTCTGCATATTACCTTTTCGAGGTGGTAGAACCTATCTGTGGTACCTCAAATATCCCTCTGTTCTTGATAAGCCTTGTAAAAAATTATATTGATATTAGAGTCAATATTGACTCCAGATTTTTTTCTAGTCGATCGATGACACGATAGAAATACATCATAGAAAGTCACTATCAAGTTGTTATAACAATCTTATACTGACAATCAACAGTCTGAGAGCGTATTACATTGAGAAGATTAATATTCCATTACTATATCAAGATCAAACCCAGTTAGTCCAAGTTTAACAATTAATCTGTGCTACACATTCAATGATATACAATATAAGTATGATATCGTTCAAAGAGCCGGGGTTGCCCTTTTCTATTCCCACCATTTCCCGCTATTTCCTTGTTCCCACCCCTCCTCTTCCTCAACAACCAAGGTTGGCAACGCCGGAACATTTATGTTGCAGATGTCATTACACGGGCGACTTTCATTACAGTCCATCAAGTCGGCCGTCTGCTCGTTTGCCACCTTTGACATAAAAAAAACCACCTTTGACATAAAAAAACCACCTTTGATATATAAAACCACCTTTGACATAAAAAAATGTGCATATTCCAGAGGCTTCATAAAGTATCCTCGCGAGACGTCCGTATACCGGCCAGCTGAGAAGCGTCTCCGTGACTGGGAGGAGATCTACGACCAGTCGTCCGTGAGGCGCGGCCTGCGGGTGCAGGCGGCGCGCTGTATGGAGTGCGGGGTGCCCTTCTGTCAGAGCGGACACGGCTGTCCGCTGGGGAACATCATACCCAAGTGGAACGACCTCGTATATAGAGCTGACTGGAAACAGGCGCTGGCACAATTATTGCAGACTAATAATTTTCCAGGTGAGGATATATTTACGCATTTGTATGTATAATGTATGAAAATATCCTACATATATTATAAATGAGCGACTTCCTGAGCATATGTGGATATAAGTTGCTCTTTCGTGTAAAATATACTGAGTTGATTCTGGTGTCACGCTTCAGTAATTTAGCTTAGCTTAAACATCAAAATAATATATAGGAAATAATGTGTATTTTTTCCGTGTTTTTTTTTTTTGCGGGAATAAGTCATAGCGATTGCATGAAGTTTGATTAGAATCATCAATCAACAAAAACCAATATAAGAACTTATTGACACATATTTTTTAATTTCTTTGTATTAAAAAATATTTTCACGAACACATATGTTACGATGATAAAATGTGTGCATCGTGCGTGCGTGCGTGCGCGTGTGTGTGTATGTCCGCGAATGTTATATAATAGAACCTTTATATATTCCAGAGTTCACGGGCCGCGTGTGCCCCGCTCCATGTGAGGGCGCGTGTGTGTTGGGCATCTCCGAGCCTCCCGTCACCATCAAGAACATCGAGTGCGCCATCATAGACCACGCGTTCAGCAGCGGCTGGATACTACCAGAGGTATACTACTATATACACTACCTTCATATAAATAAAGCTATAGGAAAAACAAAAAATAATAAAAAACAGAATATAATGTAAAATATATAAAAGGGCGTGCAAGTGGTAGAGCCTAGCTGTGGTTAGTTACTACAGCTCGAACACGGGCTGGCTCGACCGGGGAAGTACCACCCTCTCACTGAAGATCGGCGTGAAGTAGCCTTTAATGGCTGCGTTTCGTCCGATGAGTGAGAGAGCCGGTTGCCCTTTCCCTATTCCCACCCTTTCCTACAATATCCTTATTCCCACCCCTCCCTATCCCTATAAAACAAGGTTGGCAACGCATCCGCAACATCTTTGTTGCGGATGTCCATGGGCGACGGTAACCACCTTCCATCAAGTGGGCCGTCTGCTCGTTTGCCACCTTTAACATAAAAAAAAAGCACTACGGAGGGGCGGGGGTCTTTTGCTTTGCTAATTTTGGATGACATGGAGGGTAGGGGAGTCTAGGTATCGATTACGTCATCGGTAGTTATTAATTTTTAATCGTCACATTACTTAGATCCATAAAAAAATACAATTATAATTTTTTTCTGGACTTATATTAAAAAAAATATAGTAATTGAAAATGTTTACGTAAGCATCGGGGAGGGGTAAGAGCTTTGCTTACTTTTGCTGACAAGGGGGATGGAGGGGTAAATAATTGTAATAAATCTGCTTACGTAATACTTGAACGGCCCCAAAGAATATTTGTAAATTCGCTTAATTACTAAGTCAAATAATCCTAGTTCAGTTTTTATATTGAATTATTTTATTTATCAATTTCTATATGGACCTAAAGTATATTATCGTTTTGAAAACTTTGCCTTTCGTACATTTATAAGAGTAAGTCAATATCTTCAGATATTATTGGCTCTACTAAAACTATAGTGAAGTTGTTTTTATTCAAAACTAAATATGTTTTCGTTTATATCTTGTAGATCCCTGAGTATCGTAACGGCAAAACAGTCGCCATCGTGGGATCCGGGCCGGCGGGGCTGGCGTGCGCTCATCAGTTAAATAAGGTAATAAATATTAACTCAATCCTTAATTAATTAATTATATTACTCACACGGATTAAGTTGTACAATATACATCCCATATAATCGACACAATTTTCATACCATAATATACTAGTGTAATTTAAGTATTCTGAATATCATTTATACTTTGTTAATTGTTTATACGCAATATACAAAGATATAAACTATCTCATTATATATAATCAAATAAATAAATAAATAAATAAATAAATAAATATGTATATAGGCGGGTTACTCGGTGACTGTGTTCGAGCGTAACGATCGTCCGGGCGGGCTCTTGCAGTACGGCATTCCTAGTATGAAACTCAGCAAGGCTGTGGTACAGAGAAGGATCAAACTCATGATGGACGAAGGAGTTGTGTTCAAGTGTAACGTGGACGTAGGCAAGGACATCTCCGCCGCTGACCTGGCTAACGAGTGAGGAAATTATATCATATACACTATATACAGTGGCCTAGTGGTTAAAGTGCCCGCCTCTCATGCATGAGGGCACGGGTACGATCCTGGCAAGTACCAATGTGATTTTTCCGAATCATATGTACTTTCTAAGACTATTTAGACATCATTGTTTAATGCATCCCCAAAGAGGGTTGATGTTATTCAGACTATTCACAACATGTAAGGGAGATCCTGGCTATAGCTGGGAAATTGCCAGGTAGAAGAAGATAGACTATATAGTATATTATATACTAAAAGAGTGTTATTTACAGTCAGACTATCATAGTTTACGCTATATGTATATGAATTATATAGAATATTGATCACAGAAACCGATATATCTTTTTGATGATTTATATACAAAAATATATTTTCAGTGATGAAAAATTGGTAGACTGTGAATATGCTCTTCCTCGAGATATATACGCAGTTCAAAATTGACTTATGTGTATATAATATCAAACCAGTAGATAATAGTTATATATTCCCAGGTACGACGCGCTGGTTCTATGTATGGGCGCCACGTGGCCGAGGGATCTGCCTCTCAGCGGCAGACAACTGGGCGGGATACACTTCGCTATGGAGTTTCTGGAAGGCTGGCAGAAGAAACAGGCAGGCGGCGGGACTGGGAAACTACCCGCGCTGAGTGCCAAGGATAAGAACGTGCTAATTATAGGAGGGGGGGACACTGGGTGAGAATATGACTAATATAACATATTATATATCAAACTATTAATCATGATAAATTCTATAACAATATTAGACACGATATAGGAGGGTGATATTAATATATGACAAATATACAGGTGACTGGTGAATTACTATCGATACTTGAGGACGTGATATTTGACGATCATATATGACAAAATAAAAATTAATATAACATAAATATTAATAAACTTCTGAGTAAAGTTAACCAAAAGTTATGTTATTAATTACGCATCATGTGAACACCCTACAGATTAGGTATACACACACACACACACACACACACACACACACACACACACGCGCGTTTGGCGGTGTGGTGTTGTATCAGCACGCTGCCGCACGTGTCCACACTTGGAACACTTGGAACGTGTCCTCACTTTATTTATTTATACGGAAATTTGGTCAAAAATTAAGTACCTATTTTTTTTACATTCGAATAAGAATCATGTACCGAGTATTCTCCTTAAATATTGATAGTAATTCACCAGTCACCCTGTATATGACATGACAATTATACCCTAACAAATTCAATAACAATGTGAAACACGATAGTTGAGTTAGTAAAGCGACTGTGAATCGTCATCACAGAAGTCGCTGCTTTAAATACTGCTCCATAAAGCTTTCACTATATCAATACTTGATTCTTAAGTCAACTTTTTAATCATTGTTTATCATAGTTTAAGTGAATAATGTTTGTCATTTGTTCCTCAGCTGTGACTGTATCGCGACGTCTCTCCGTCAAGGCGCCAAGTCTATAACGACCTTCGAGATCCTTCCCGAGCCCAAACCGACGCGAACCAAGGAAAACCCTTGGCCGCAGTGGCCAAGAGTCTTCAGGTATTTCCGGATTTCCGGGATGCAAAGTACCCTATGTGTTATTCCTGGACGTCAGCTTCCTATATACAAAATTTTATCAAAATCGGTTCAGCCGTTTGAGCGTGAAGAAGTAACAAACATACACACACACACACACTCACAAACTTTCACAATTATAATATTAGTAGGATTACTACATCACTATACTGTATTCTTACAATTATAACTAAACTGAAACAACGAGGTGGCGTTAAATATTTAACGCTACCGTGGAGGATAGAAAGAGATTGAGAATGAATGGAATAGAGCGCATTCGCGGTCAATTGTAGATTGTGAGCTATATTAATAAAGTTTATCCCAGACACAATATGAATTCACTTAAAATATATTTCCGCCGCTTCCTATTCTCAATTCTCCATAACGAAGTGTCATTCTTGCTAAATGTGAGTTCACATACTCTTGTTATTGTCTTTATAGTTTACCACTTGTTTACTGCAAGTCATTTAAAAAAATCTTCAATTCTAACTTATCTACTTTTTATGACCAAGGTACATGTAAGAATATGTTTATGTGGTTACTTTTATGGTTCATTTAGAAAAAAATAAACAAGGTAAATGTGTTTATTATACTAATTCCATTGTGTTATAATGATTAACATATGTAATGTAGCCGGCGATGTTACAAAGTAATACATAAAAATATGTATTTGTAATTAGAGCAATTAAAAGAACAAAGGGCCATTAGTTACTGAGTAACGCAATCGATACAGGCTTGTTTATTAACAATTGTTTATTAAGGGACTAAAAAAAATATATGACATGAGCAAGATGTGAACTCATTTGTTACTTTTTAATCGTAATTGTATTTATTTATGATTTTGTTTGTAGAGTCGACTACGGCCACGAAGAGGTGAAAGTTAAGTTCGGTAATGATCCGAGACAATTCTCGACACTCACCAAGGAGTTTCTCGATGATGGTAATTATTATACATTATGATGTCATCACCACTACTACTGATGCAAATAGTTCAAATAGCACCTTCAATAATGTAATTATTATAACTTAATTAGTTACCTACTAATTATTATAACGTAAATTTTCTACTGAAAGATGAAATGATGATATCTTGTTTTAATAGTTACATAGGGATATTTGGCTTAGGTAGAACCTTGCGTAAAATGTTATTCAGGGATCCGTCAAAATGGTTTAGAATCTAATCCTCATATACATCGTAATATTGATTTTCCTAATATTATAGTTATTAATTTGCTATCTAATTCTATATTTTAATTACTTACCAGGTGAAGGCAACGTATCAGGTGTGAGCGCAGTAGAAGTTGAGTGGACGCGCGGCCCGGGCGGGAGGTGGGAGATGACGGAGAAGGAAGGCTCTAAGAGAGTTGTTCCGTGTGACCTGGTGCTGCTGGCTATGGGCTTCCTTGGACCGGAGAGATACGTCGCCTCGCAACTAGGTATGATATAATCAGATCCAGGGTACACCGACATAGAGGCTGATGGCTTTCGCAGTGGTTTTAGTGAGTAGGGGCTGTAAGAACACACAAAAATGTATTTTTTTTGTGGACAAAATGTTGAATAAGGTTTGTTTTTGTAAGATCAGAGTCAAAGGTTAAGTATATTTAGGCCTATGAGCCAACTTGTCGCGTCTAAATCCTTACATCTGCGTCTGCACATAAGAATATCGGAAATTTATCAGATGTAAACTTTTCATTCTAACTGTAACTACTGCTTTCCACGTTTAAGACTTTTAGGAACGTGTATAAACAGTTTGTTAGGATATTTAATAATAATCATACTTATACACTTAGGTGCAACACACGTCTATGAGTTAGTCATTTTCACAATTGAAGTGAAAAATCTATTCATTTTCCACTTAAAACAAGAGTTAAATAGATTTGTTTTGTCTATCTAAATATGACGTTACATCTCGCAAATGTCATGTGACTGACCGTTTCGTTTTGATATTTTCTTGTCAAACAGTTGGGCCATTTTTTTAGAATTATCCCTAATCTAATATATATAATTATGTAATGTGCTTAATACATCCTGTAATATATACTCATTATTTTATCTCCCAGACCTGCCGCTGGACGCTCGCAGTAACATAGAGACGGACAAGAACAACATCTACAAAACGCCGAGGAGCAACGTGTTCGCTGCTGGAGGTACACTACAACAGATACATACTATCACATATCGTTGGGAATAGTGCAAATCCAAGTACCCACCAAATCTAAGTACCAAATGGGCAAATCCAAGTACCCAAGAAAGATTGAGTTGAAATAATTTCTAAATTCATGACTTTTAAGGAAATTTTTTCACAATAAAGAACTATTTAGTGTTTTAATTATTACTAATTGTGAAAAGTCGTTAATATAGAAAATATTTCAGCTCAAACTTTCTTTTTATAATCTGCTTCCAATGTAGATATACGGAATTATCCAATGCTAGTTATATGGATTTGCACTATCCTCGACGATATATCACTCTAATATTTTATTGTCCAACGTGCCATCAAAGCAGCAAACACCCTTTTTCATCACTCTAATATTAATATATGATATATTAACAATAAATTATTGTTTCAGACTGTCGCCGCGGCCAGTCGCTAGTAGTGTGGGCTATAGCTGAGGGTCGGCAGGCGGCGCGGGCCGTGGACGTGTACCTGTCGGGCAGCTCGTGTCTGCCGGGGCCTGGGGGAGTCATATACACGCACTAGATCACACTATACAATACAGTACACCTGAACTATAGATGGTCTTTTGGACTATAAATGGTCTCTTGGACTATAAATGGTCTTTTCGACTGTAAATGGTCTTTTGGACTGTAATGGTCTCTTGGACTATAATGGTCCCTTCTCATAGTCGCCATCTCATAGTGAAGATATCTCAGATTCTGAATCTTTAGCCAAGGTTCCTACCGTAGTTGAATTCAGCCAATTAATTAGTAAACGCGACTCTGTTGATATGTATTATAACTTTTAAGTGAGATTTCTAATTTTATTTATTATTATAATGATTTAATCATAAGTTAAATATTTAATTTGTTATATCATTAACATATGTATATATTTTATTTTTCAAATCAGTAATAATACTTTTAATTATATTTTCATGATAATATAAAAACTATATATATGTAATATATACATGTTACATACAAAATAATCGTCGTACAATAAACAAAGCTTCTTAGTATCATTGAAAGTATATTATTAACATTCCATATCTAGATAGTTTGAGATGAAATCAGAAATACGAAGAAAGTAGGGGAAAGAGCGTTATCTCGTTAGAATTAATAAAAAGAAATTATCCAAAGACGTCATATTCAACAAAAAGTTACCAATATACAAATAATGTTATATGCAGCTATACCTACATACTCATAATATAATTTTTGAAAAACCTTTTCCTTAGAAAATTCTTATTCACATATGTAGATATTTAACGTGTCAAAAACGTGCCCAGTATTTAGTATATAATACATACAAAGAAAAAATAACAAAAAAAGCGAGATTTAAAAAACGTACATACTATTATAACCAAAGTCCATGTAACAATTATTTTTCATATATTCTAAAAAAACACATGAATAAAGATATAATTCTCCATAATTTTAATTAATTAATATGATTTAAATTCACATTATAATGAAATTAATTATTTAATATTTATTAATGTATTAGCGACAAAGTTAAATATATTGTAATATCTCGTCTGTTTGTTGACTTGAGTTTTAAATGTTCCTAAATATTTAATTCCTCTCAATATTATTTTCTAAAAACTATTGTCATTTCTGTAATTAAAAATAAATAGATTTCAACCGTTCTCACGTACAACCGTTATTATTAAATAATTTACTAATTATATAGCTTTTAAGAAATACTTGCATCAGAAATATTATGAACAAAACCACGGAAAATTTCTTTATAACTTGTTTCCAAAAAATGCAACATTATATACCCTTTTTTGTTAATTTCTTAGAAATTAATTATGATGTATGCTTATCTTAAAATTATAGACACTTTTTTGTCATCAATTTATTTAGAATTGTCTATTTTATTTATTTTTTAAATAAAGTTTTATTTGATTTATTTTGTTTTTTTTTATTCACCTTTGTTTTTGTTAGTCTCTTTACAATTGATTCGTAACGTATTAAACAATGTTACTATTGACAATAATGAATGTGTACAACTAGTTTGTGTCAAGAAATATAAAATTATATGAAATAATGTTTAGTATTATTTGAATACCTATAGTGTTAAAATAAAACTTAAGTATCCCCATACATTGACCACAAATAGTACGATTTCTTATTCAAAATTATATGTATTAAAAAAAAAATTAATTTAAGAATCGAAGCATTATCTGCTTAAAAAAACATTGGTTGTTTGTAAATTAGGTTTACGATCGAGATGTTTACGTGATAACGTCTAATTGGTGATATAAGTTTTTGGGAAGTAAGGAATTAATGAAGATAACAATTTTTTCAAATTTTAAATTACATCTATCGTTTTATTCACACTTTTAATGCTAAATTTCGGGTGTATTCGTTTGTATGTATTCATTCGTTTGTATGCCGCTAGAGTGAGAGAGACGGAAGATCGGTCCACTCACTCGAACGCTATGCCTGCCTCCGCTCGTGAGGATTCCGCGTGACAAGTTTCACGGAATGACTGGCAGCGCTCGAGATGAGACGGGAGATCGGTCCGTCTCTCTCTCGTTATACCTGCGATCGCGCTCGTGAGGTTTTGGTGTGACACAAGTTTCTGAACATGTCACCCGACTAAAACGATTTTAAAGACGTTATCACGTCAAAAGATAAGTTAATATTTAATAGATATATTGAAAATAAAAATTTGGTGTGACACAAGTTTCTGAACATGTCACACGACTAATACGATTTTAAAGACGTTATCACGTCAAAAGATAAGTTAATATTTAATAGATATATTGAAAATAAAAATTATAAACTTTGGCTTGATTCGATAGAATAAAATTAAATACATCGTAACAAATGACAAATTGTATGGTACGGCAGTCATAACTGCATACACACATCAACATTGCCTAGTGATATTTCAGTTTTACCTTATATAAATTTTTGTATATATTTAGTTAAACCAATTACATATGAAATTAATTAAAAAAGCAGAAAATAACAAAAAAAGACATTTAATTAAAGTTAATAATCAGTATTTCTTCACCTAACATTAATGAGAATTCTATATCGGTTATTCACGCTCAAAATTAAGTTATCCAAATCGAGCTATGGTATAGGGTCCCAGGTTCTTTTCAAGTGCAGGAATCGTTTTTCTTCTGTTACAAAATTTGGAGAAAAATTTACCATAGCTTTTTGCTGTAACATGTCCATGCATGGTCAGAGGGATTCATGTCGGGGGACTGAGTAGGCCAGTCCATAACTCTGATTTATATACATCTCTATCATATCTTAGAAATCTCTATCATATCTTAGAAATTTAAAAAAAAAACAAGCCTGACATCCGTTTTAACGATAAGCACCGTGAACACAGACATACAGAAATTAACCCACCAACTTGTTAAAGTTATAAAAACATTTCTATTTCAATAGAGAAGACGGCTGGCAATCATGTAAAGCCTGACACGCCATCATCAAAAATATAAAACCGCATGTGTGACAGATATAGACTGTAGTAAAACTTCGTACTAATTGTATTTAGTTATAATCGTCGAATAGTCCAATAATTAATCGACATTCTTTGTTTGAAAATGAGTTTTTATTTTTATTCTTTTGAATTTGAAAAGAAGTGGTGGAGAAGAAAATATTTTATATACAAACTTTTTTTTACATTAAATAGTTTTTAAAGATCTTTCATGTAGTATCTCTGGACATTGTTGATGTGTCTATATGTAAATCAAAGTTCATATGAACAAATATTTATCCTTTTAAACGGTTTTTTATTATATATACACAAAGTATAGATACAAATAAAAGAAAAATGATAAAACGTAGGATATTGGAATAATAGTATCTATATTAATTATTTTATTAATTTTATAATAAACTTTAAGAGAGTATTCTGTTTGTAAAAGACATGTAGTACAATTTCTATAATAAAATACCTATTGAAAGTTTTGTCTCTCAATTACTCTTCATTTCGTTTCGTATCTATATTGCGTAGAATAATTTTGTATTATTGAAATATACGAGAAAGAAAACTCAAAATGGTATATTTTATTTTTGAAAACCAAGTTATCAAGAAATTACACTGCAAGATATTTAAGATACTATAGTCTCATAATGAAGTTAAGTAATAAATTCGATAATATGGAAACTTCAAGACACTATTATGAGTGGCGTATAATGCATATAGTAGACTACTTAAAGCACGCGCTTTGAAATATTATGCCAATGGAAAATTTCTTACAAACCGGACGCTTTATAAACGGTTTAGTAATAGCACCGGACACTACTTTACTCGTAATAAGAAACTAAAACGACGATAAACTATATAAAAAAAATGAAAATATATAATATGCAATAGATATATTGTAGGGTTCCCAAAGAGGTTTGATGTCAGGCAGGCAGGTCATAAAAACAATTAGCCAAAATTATTCACAACATGTAAGGTAGACCCTGACTAAAGCTGAGAAAGTGCTAGGAAGAAGAAGAAGATATAGAGCGTTGCCTAATTATTATAAATTAGATTCATAGATACAAAATATGGTATATTTAAAGTTGGAACTAAATGAAAAATAATTATAAAGGAAATATAAACAAGATAAAATTCCAAATATTTTTTGCAGATGACGTAGAACTCGCAGTCGGAGGCGTAATTATGTTACTTTGTGGTTACATAAAAACAGCGAATACAGATTAATAAATTATATGTGGTTCTCGATTAAGAAAACCCCAGTTCGATTGAAATTTGTACACTATTATATTTTAAAAGATAATTCTTATTATTTCGTATTTGTCTTTAAACGTATTTGTATTAGCAACCATGCAATATGATAGACTTAATTTTTTTTCTTCATCCGTTGGATTTTAACATCATTTCAAATGTTTTTATAACTTTAACAACTATTATGTAAGGGCAAAAGGTATATGAATAATTAGAATTAATAAAGACAGAATAAGATCAAATTCGACAATTAAAATATACGAGGGGAGGTCAAAAAGTTCGCGGAATGGAGGGGATGGAGGGGGTTGATTTACTCGTCCAGGTAGTAACTTGTTCAACACCTCATTAATAGTATATATACCAAGTTTGAACCAAATCGGGTCATTAACTTTTGAGTTATTGACCTGCAAACAAGTGAATCGGGAAGAAGTCAGTGAGTATGGAGAAAATTGAACACCGCGCCGTTATTAAGTTCCTCACAAAGCAAGGAAAATCCGCTCAGACGATTTTCGAAGAGCTGTTATCAGTTTACGCGGACTCTGCCCCTGGTAAAACCATGGTTTATAAGTGGCATGGACTTTTTAAACAAGGAAGAGAGTCCATTGAAGATGACCCCCGCTCCGGACGACCGATTGAGGCCACCACACCGGAAATCGTAGCAAAAGTAGAAAAACTTATATTGGAAGATGTATAGACGTTCATTACTGACTTTTTGGTTAGTTGTACCAGGGTGAAAATATTGTAAAATAAAAAACAAAAACACTTTTGTGAAAAATGAACATTATTGAATCGTTTTATTTCTGTAACTTTTGTGTATTCCAAACATATATAAATAGATAATAACTAACTAACATCTCAAAGAATCACTGAGAAGACTTGTCAACAAAATTGTAAAGAATTTAATGAATCCTAGAGAAATAAATGTGTTTAATTTCCACATTACATACAAGTGTTATATTTTTATAATTTTATAATCTATACTAATATGTATTATAAAGCTGAAGAGTTTGTTTGTTTGTTTGTTGTTTGTTTGAAAGCGCTAATCTCCGAAACTACTGGTTCGAATTGAATAATTCTTTTTGTGTTGGATAGTCCAGTTATCGAGGAAGGCTGTGGGCTATATAACATCACGCTACGACCAATAGGAGCAAAGATATAGTGGTAAATGTGTAAAAAACGGGAGGAATTATTTCATCTTTGAAGCCTTCCGTTGCGTGCGCCGTGAAAACGGTTCAAGATACACAAAAAATATGTATTAAAGAATAATAGCTCTTTTAATGATCTAAAAAACAGTCAGCGACAGTATATGTCTATCTTTTAAGATTATCTCTCAAAAACCGTTTTTATGGTACCTAACTTGGTCGAAATAATTTGTTTGAGTTGTATCAACATAATAATATTAATCTTTATTCAAATAAACAAATAAATATGTTTTTGGTTAATAGTACTTCATTGTGAATAAAAAAAACATAGGTTTTACCCGAAAATTCTACGGGAACTCGACCATTCCGAAAACCCCGCAAGAACGGGAACTATGTGGGAAGAACCAAAAATCTTCCCGAAGTCACTATTCCACGCGGACGAAGTCGCGGCAAAAGCTAGTATTTTTATGTTTTCAATCAAAATAATATCTGTATATATTTAATAAATCTTCATACAAACCCTTTAAATTCGGATTTAATAAGAACTCACGTAATAATTTGAATCGAAGGTTATCTTTTTCGAAGGTGGTAGAGCCTAGCTTTGATCAGTCGCTATAGCTCGGACATGGACTTGCTCGATGGGGAAGTACCACCCTCTCACAGAAGATCCGATGAGTGATAGAGACGGTTGTCTTTTTCCTGTTCCCATTTTTTCCTGCCATTTCCTTACTCCTACTCCTCCTTTTCCTCAACAATTAAGGTTAGCAACGCATCCGCAACATCTCTGTTACGGATGTCACCGTATACCACATAATATGAAGAGGAATGAATAAATATACGTCATAATAAACACGTTATTTTAATGTACGGTGACATGTGCGTTCAATGAGGTGGAAAACAGATCAAGTCTTTCAGTATTAATAAACATCCATACATAATTGATCAGACAGTAATTTAGTAATAGTGAAAATTTTGAATCTTCATTATTATGTTCACCCTACATTATTCCAGTGTCCGTTTTCACTTCACGGTAACAGCATTATGGAGAAGTTGCGACGTGTCTGTAAGTGCTGAAATACATTTTATTTTCAAAAAATTTATCATTTTAATATTGGTTTATTCCTTTTTATTACTTACAGTCACTTGCATGAAATCCATTACTTACTCCATCTATAATACGTTAGATTTGAAATACCAAGAGCAATTTGGATTTAAACTAAATGAAACGAATAGTGAAAAACTTTTGGACTATTTATACGCACCAAAAGACTCGTCAAGTTTGGCAGTCACAAGAATATTGTTTGGTAAGGAAAGTAAAAGTATATGAATCGAAGCAAAGTAGTTTTGAAGTAATATGTTGTTTCTTTATGTAGGTCTGTGTATGTTGTTTGATATACCTGATGAACGAGGAGGGTCTATCATAGACAAGCGATGGGGAGACCCTAATATATGCCACTTCCCTCTGATTCCCATCATAAAGGCAATTCCCATGCCCTACATGGCAGTTGTATACGCCATGCTCTGGATTGGTGAGTAGTAATCATGTTTTAAAGTATTGAAATGAAGTTATAAGTGTATGATTTCAAAATTAAAGAAAATCTAAAGCTACTCGTAGTTTAGACTATTGAAAAACTAGTGCAAAACATTTTGACATAAGTATATATTTCGGTTTTTGACAAGAACTTTCGCTGGAATTTAGATATCGGTGACAATGATATAAAATATTCATTATCATATTCAAGTGATTACAACTTTCCTTAATTTTATAAATTAATATGGGCCTTATAAATTCTTAAAAAAAAAAAAATACAATATAAGCAGGTTTTCCAAATTTGTATGAGGAATGCGAAGAAAAGATTACAGTTCCTTCTAAATTAAACGTATTAAATCACTGTGGGAAACTGAAAAACACACAATGCGTGCCCATGCGTCATATTTCATGCAATAAAAATGTGTTTCCTAGACTCTCCAGATAGTTTAAAAGTTCTTAAAGGTAATTAATTTGGATATAAAAAGAACCAAAAACCAAAAAAAACATCCGTCTACCTGAATTTTCTAATTTTCATCAGTATACAGCAATGTTTCCCAAATTTTTTGTATCCACGTCCCACTTTTTAGGTTTAAAATGGCTATTGTCACCTATAAATTTTGTTTAGAAATAAATTCCTCGCGGCCTAAAATTACTATAATAGAAATATGTATTAAACGCTTATTTTGGTTGATTAGATAAATTCCATATAAAACTTTAAGATAAGAAAAACATATAGAAATAGTGTTATTGCCACGGATATATACAGTCTTTAATCTCTATAGCGCTTTTTAAAAACTTTTAAGTACTAACAATCAATGTATGGATGTAGTCTTGAGTTTTCAAATCTCCGAATGTCGACTTTTAAAGTCAAAATGTCCCCCAGGTGGGGCGTAGGTACATCCTATGTTGGGAAACACTGGTATATTACACAGTCAACAATTCCGGATAAACAAATGACGTAAAATAAACAAAAATAAGCAAGATTTAGTTAATAGAAAATTTTAAAGATAAAATCTATATTTAAATTCAAGTATTTATGTATGAACGTTAATATAACACATAAAATTACAAATTTGATCAAACATATTAACACACTGACTGACCTTGACAGATTTATCATGTCTATAAAAATACGTAAATAGTTTTTTTATATCAAAAAGGCTTATAACGATATGATTATGCTTGTAACACAGTTATTATATATTAAATAGTTAAATGTTCATATTTTTCTATAATTACTATACTTTTAATCCCAACAAGGCAAAGTATAAATTTTCGCGAATATGACGTGTTTGGACAAAGTAGAAATTTGCACTTTATAAATTAAAGACTTACTTAATTACTGATTAAAAAAATTACGAAAGAAAATAAATATTAATAAATCTACAAATTATTTTGGAAGCAGAGTTCTTTTGTATGGTTAGATATTACGTCGTTTTTTTATTAAAAGGAAATCTAACATTTTAAAAGTTTTAAGTAATGTAGGTATCTATTCATGTGAAGTATGATACATTGATATTATACAAAATATATGTAAGACCATTTCGACAAAGAACTTCGAATCGTATGCAAATAGACCAAAACAAATTAATGACCATAAGTCGAGATAATATACAACTGAATTGAGAACCTACTCTTTATTAAAGTCGCTTAATAATAATCAAAAAGTGTTATCTACTAAAAAAATCAACACTCTTATTTCATTTCTAAATGAGGTTTTGTAACGATATTAAGACAACCAAACATTTTTTTTGCATCTAATATATTTGAATGACTTGTCTTTAGGTGCCCTCGGTATCACCCTAGGGTACAAGTACCGTATAAGCGCCTCATTGTTCACTCTCTGCTACTGGTACTTATTTCTGATAGAGAAGAGTTTCTGGAACAATCACAGCTACCTGTTCGGTGTCGTCAGCTTCTTGTTGACCTTCACGCAGGCCAACTCACACTGGTGATTATCAGTTTAATGACACACTTAACATTGTGTTTAGTTTATACACCAAATTAACCTGATTTTTATTTATTGATGCTAATATATATTTGTATATTAATTTACATTGACGTACCTACTTCTAACATTCGTAAACATTTGAACTATAAAATTATTATTTTAATTTAAAAAACTTGTAATGATATTGTAATGATAAATTTGATTTAGGTCCGTCGACGCTTATTTGAATCCTTCGTTAATAAAGACGACGGTCCCATATTGGAACTATTTTATTCTGAAGTACCAGTTTTTTATCTTGTACTTCATGGCTGGTATGAAGAAAGGTACCGCGGAGTGGCTTACTGGTTATTCTGTTCAGAATCTCAGTGAGCATTGGGTATTTACACCTTTCAAGTGAGTCCAATCTGATAATTACTTGAAAAGAAATATAAATTTAATGCAAATGTTATATTGGCCTTATTTGTCAATACGATGATTCATATGGAAATTCTGAATATATCTATTAATAACTCAATTTGTGCATATCTGAATAAAGTTTGAAGGTAAACAATACGAAACTAAGTTTTTTTTATATCTACGAGTAAACAATCCCGACGTTTCGATTCTTTTACACTTTGCATAAGGAAACAAAGCCTTGGGACTGTATAGATAAAAAGAAATTAATTACGCGTAGCATCCGAAATCTTAGTTTCATTGAGATGTGTACTCGCAAAATCTTAGATATCATTATGTAAACAATACGATATAAATAATTCTTTATTCTGTTTTCAGATTATTTCTATCGGTCCCACAGACCGATTACTTCATAGTTCACTGGTTCGTGTTCTCTTTTGATCTGACGGTGGCCGTGTGGATGATGTGGGCGCCGTCAAGGAACATCGCTATGGTGTTTTGTTCTCTGTTCCATCTTATGAATAGTCGACTATTCAGGATAGGTTCGATAAAAAAATATTTACGTTTACATTTGAAGAGCCTTCTCTATCAAAAATATTATATTAACTGACATAGTTCTCAAAATAAAAACACATTAACTTTAATTCTTGAACAAGTAAAATTATGCACCCATCCAAAAAATCTCAGATCACTATCATTATTCAGTACCGCGATCATACACAAATGCGGGATTGCGCGCTCTAATACGTAAAATATGTCACACTTATAATAACGAATTTTCTCCAGTTGATATTTTACGTCACAATTCAGCCGCGTTTCATGACAAATTGTGGAACATATTATTTGACAAAAATAAACCACCTCGCAGTCCTGTTTTTCATTAACATTGTTTAAGAGTTTAGTTTAGTTTAGTTTAAACGCTAAATATTCTCTGTACATTAACCATCACTCCCTTCACATCCTTAAATTAAATTTACACACTTTATTTGTACACATCGCTTTTATCAAGTGTATTATTGAGATGCGGCCCAAGCGGCCTCTCTTTTTAATTTATCTATATTTCTTAGTGAGAAATGTTTAAGAACTTGGGTATTATTTGTCTTTAATTTATTGTGTTATTGTTTATATTTTTTATTACATTCCTGTGCTCTGTTTTTTTTTCTCCAATAAACTAAAAATAAAATAAAATTTTTATTCGTAGATGCATGTTAAAATAAGATTAAAAATCATTTACTAATCGTAATAGTAATAGAATATATTTAACACGTCTTAAATTTTTCTTGTTTTCTAACAATTCAGTTACTATTTTAGGAATGTTTCCGTGGGTTTGCTTGGCTACAATGCCATTGTTCTATCCTTTTGATTGGCCCAGAACAATCATTGGGTATCTAGATATTATAAAATCAAAATTACTAAAACTGAGCTGCATGGCGTTATACAAAAATGAATATTTAAACGTGACTCTTAAAGATAATGATGAGAGAATAACAGAAACCGATCAAGAAAAGTTTGAAACTGATGATGAGTTATTGCTTAATGATGGTGATAGCCCAAGTAAAGAAATGCTTATAACCAATGATGATGTAAATGAAAAAATAGAAGAAAACAAGACTTCCATTAATAAACATGACGGAAGATATTTAACTTTGTTTTTAGTTTTGTTCCACGTTGTATTACAAGCGATTCTTCCTTACTCACATTTTATTACTAAAGTAAGCAAATTAATTCCATACATTTTTATATTAATAAGAAATAATACCTTTGTTTTCGTCTTAAAGACTAAACTGCAATTTTATATATTTCTAAATAATTTATGTAGTTTTTATGATAACTAATTAGCTTTCTTAGCAAAAACTTTATGATAGTTTTGTGCTAAAGAAGTTTAAAACTAAAATTAATTATTAATATAATTTCCTTTTTTTTATTAACCGATCATAAATATTCATTTCATAAATATAAATTTTCTTGAAGCGCTCTTAAAAACACACACTTAGTAATAATTATTAAAATATATCTATATATCAGGGATATAATAACTGGACGAAAGGTCTTTATGGATATTCTTGGGATATGATGGTACATACGTGGGATTTGGAGACAGTTGTGATAAAAGTCGTGGACAATACTAACAAGAGGGAATTCTACATCGATCCATACGCAAACTCACCCAATGATCGTTGGACGAGACATGGAGATATGGTTCACCAATATGCTAGATGTCTTAAGGAGAAAATGAGCAAGAAGATCCAGGAAGGAGCAGATCATAAGGACTTGAATATATCAATTTATATAGACATATGGTGTTCCTTAAACGGAAGATTCACACAGAGAATGTTCGACCCTAAAGTAGATTTGTTGAACGTCTCTTGGTCCCCCTTCAAACCTGTTTCTTTCTTAATGCCTTTGCTTGATGAAGCCTTGGACTGGAGGAGTACATTACAGGATATAAAAACCGATGTGCATTCGTGGAATAATTACAGTGATGTCATATTTTCTGCTGACTTTCCAGGTATTGAAATAGGACAAATGTTGCTTATATCAATCGTATTATTTTTGATATTTTTCATTAATTATGTGATTTTTTCCCACAGGTTACGATCAAGAAAAGTTTATTCCATCAGATCTCAGTAATATAACATTAACAATTTTAAATGGTTCCGTCGCGTATGAGCCCGAAGTGACGTCAGGAGGACACTCTTATAAATTGTCTAGAGGGGACCACATACATTTAAATCCTGACACATTCCATAGAGTTATAAATATCGGAGACACTCCAGCGTACTATATGTACACATTCGTTAATACTTCGGAAATATTCAATATCGAGCCTCCTAAACCCAAACTGCCTGTTTTCCAGGAGTTACACAGACGGATAAATAATATGATGAATTTTTTCAAGCTTGTTATATCTGAAATGTTTGAAGTATTCTTTAATATGAAACATTATTTACTGTGAAGAATTTGTAATATATGCAGATAATAGGTAGTCGTGTTAACAAACTTGTCATCATTATTAAGCCTTTGTTATTTGGTGCAACAGGTAACGTTGGAAGATTCTTAAATATTATTAAAAAATTATAGATGTTTATTTGTTACTTTTTGCTTCAAAAATTTCGTTTAAACCATTTGGTTAACGATTTCGTAACATCAAAGATTTAGTATAATAAGATACCTACATTATCACCGCTACTTACCTACTGTAGTTCTACTAGTTTTACATGAATTATTTTACAAAATACTTAAGAAAATTAAAAATATATTAAATATGTAATATAAATTTATACAGCTATTTCGAATGCTAATTTGCATGCAATTCATAAAGTTATAAATACAAAGCAAATTACTAGCTATTTAAAACTTATTCCATAAAATAAAATGACAATATAAATAGTTTTTGGATTATTAATAATAATAATGTACAATGTTTAAATTATTATATGTTTTATGTAAATAAACAAAGCTAAAACGTCACTAGTAAGTGATTCAAATATACGCATATATTTGTCACTAAAAGGAAATGATACCAATTAATTTACATTTAAACGGGTCAGAGGTGCATTTTTTTTACAAGTTCAATTTCTTTATAAAACGTTATTCTAATTTAACGCGTATATATGTACAATATGACAAAGTGTCATTTCCTTTACTGTAGCATATATGTATAATTATATACACATTAACCATGTACAATATTAGACTATTTAGGACATAAATATTTACATATAGATTTCTTTATTTGTCTGCATATAAGACCTGTAGTAGAGTAATAATAATAGGTTTTTTTAATTCTTTATACCTTCCGTCACAAAATTCCACTTTTTAAAATTCTATTCTTCTCTTTTTTTCATTCGACTAATTAGGGAAAATTAATTTTAAACTGAATACTATATAATAATAGCTTTAGTTTAAATTAGCATCGCCAATATTAATTACCCGGACCTTCAAAATTCATAATTAATTAATCTGAGTTTATAATATAAAATAACCTTGAACATTCGGTGTTTACTTTGGCCATGCGAATTCTTGATTATTGATATTCTAAGGTTAATGGTGTAAATATAAAAAAAAACTGCTCTAAATAAAAACTATGACATAAATACTTAGGTGTTTTCAGTATACTTAGTCAAATAAGGTCGGAGCGTCAACAGTTCGTCATAATTCAATCGTAAATTAAATAAATAACGACAAAAGAATCGCATATACCATGACAGTAGAAACTCGGACTAAGCATAGTCCATAGTATATCATAAACATAAAAAACTAGGTGAAACACATCATACATTAAATAAAATCATTAATAAAGCAATATAATTTAAAAATTTACCACGAATATTAATAGGTCCCTTTCATGTTTAAACTGCGGACGCTTCGTGGTATTCTGAAACGAATGATGAAGGTCTTTCTTATACAGCCAAGCTCACTAGAATAATCTTTTATAGTTTTATCCTACACTCTTATTTAACATAGTGTATCAGAGAGAATTAAAGTTTTTCTTGATATATATTTTTAATATTTAAAATTCTTTTTTGACATATTTTTTTTCTGGTACACCACAATTTACGCTTTCTCTTGTCTAGTACAATTATTCTAACATAGCTAACAATATGACTACGAAACATTTGCACACGCCCACTAGCACACATTAAACAAAAAGATACACACGTTATTAGATGTTAGTAATAGTTGACCTTGTGCAATTAAAATCCCCACGACCACTCCTATATTAATATGATTATTTGCAAGGGACTTCTATTAGACCATTTGAATGTACGGAATTAACAATATGATAGCGTTATTTGCTAATCATCATTCATCAGCACTGGCTATTTTCATATAAGCTAACTGATATCACTGCGAAAGAATTTGCAAAATGTATTGTATATAAGACTTTTCTAGAAAGTAAAAAAAAGGTATAAAAGTTGTTGGATGTAAATGATCATAAAGCCAATTGTCTGAAGTTTCTACTGACATCAATCAATGACTAGTATAGTGCCTAAATCTTGGAAAGTCTCCCAAATGGCACCTACACCTAAGTATGGAAGATACACCAAATTATGATAGAACAAAACAAATGTTATAGAACCTCATGTCACACTCGAACCCACAATTGTTTTCAGTGACCGACAATATGGGTTTCCACGAAATCAGTCGACTGATCACCTTCTTGCAATCGCAGAAAAATTATAAGAAAGAATTCTTAAGAATAGTGATTAAAATCTTTCATCACAATATTTAACCTTTTAAAATAGTCAAGAGATGTATAGGTCTTTGCTTTGGGATAAAATAAATTTATGAACTACTGTTACGTACATATGAATGAGTAAAGCTTGTATATTACGAGAATTAGGGAATATTTCCTAGGTTTTAATTTTAATCTTTCTCAACATGCTATATTAAAAATTATATTCCCAGAGTCTACACAGCAAGTGCTTTCCCGTAAATCATATTCCTATACGTTATGCATAAAAGAAAATGAAATAGTAAACAAAACTTAACAAATTAGACCTATACCTACTTCTATTTAATCACTCAAAAGTAAATATTGTAAATTATTTATTTTAAAAGAAACGCTTCCCACTGGACTAAAACTTTTTTAAGAGATCATATTTTTAATGATTCTTTTATCATACAATGTGATAGTTTTATGAAAGACATACTCGATTTACTAAACTTTAAAATATAAATTTTAAACACATATGAGGAACAATTTATTTAAATTTAAATTATATTTTTGTATCTCGATATAAAAATTGTTTCCCTGTTTTCTTTGTATTTCTATTAAAATATAAAACTAAAAATACTTTTAACGATATTGTACTTACAAAAAAAGTATTAATTACAATAAAACAGTTCAAATGTAAAACAATTTGCCCAATATTAGTACACTCATAATATTAAAATTATCGTCTTCTTTAATAAGTATTTGAGACAATTTTATTATTCTATATCAAAAGCACTATTTAGAGAAATGTTTGGTAGTAACGATATAAATATTATAGTTATTTAAATATATATTCCAATGTGCAAATTATTTAAAATATGTACATTTCGTTTCATATTTAACTTTCATTATCTGTGTTCCTGGGCGGAAGACTGTCAAACGGTTTTAATTCAGCTGACACAGACACCGAGTGGCGCGACCGCTGGACATATAATGAGATAGCGCTACAATACTTTATACAGAATACGAGTAGTGTCATGTGCGAGCGCGGCATGGAGGCATGAAGCCAACGGAAGGTCCACTTTGCAAACCAGTGTTCATTCATCGTTTCGACTTGTCGTTGTGACGATCGACTCGGGGTTTGGCCGACGCCTCGTCGCTGTGAATATATAATCCACGTTTAACCATTTCGCGAGCATAACTGGAATCGGTATCTCAAAGTCAAAACGCCTTACCTCGTTTCCGTCGGAATATTGACATTTAGGCATCTGTGATATAACAACCCTAGTATCTTATTAGCAGTTTTTAGGTTAATCTATCGCCGGTGATACCAGTGCGGCGTTTTACTAAATTTAGGCTTAGTTTCATCCTGTTACCGTGTGATTTATTATAAACTGTATAGCCAAAATGGAATCCACTATGAGTTACAACCTGGACATTACGCCGAATTATTCGTACATTTTTGAATTTGAAAACGAGTTTATACATCAAAATTCTAGGAAGTGGATGACTGAGAATTGGACTGTCGCTTTCTATTATGTTGGGATATACATGGCTTTTATATTTGGTGGTCAATATTACATGCAGAATAGACCCAGGTATGTACAAACATTTTATATTAGAACTTACAGTTTCTTATTAGAAAGTTGCTCATCAAAATGTTACACACATAATTATCATTAATATCACTAAAATATGCAAATGAACACACAGAATGTATTGTACAAGTTAACAATAAATCAAATAATGAAATTGAACTGTATAGTAATACATAAAATATCATATATTTAAATATTTATTCATAGTATTGAACTAATATTAAAAGAAGACATAAACTGTCTCCGTTCACACATTTGTCAAATTGTTTAAATATTCAAACGGCTATTATAAAGAGAATATTAAAAAAAAATCCATTATATTTAAAATTATTTATTAATTTAGAAAATTAGGGTTTCAAAACAATATTGGCATCTCCACTTTCTATTAACCTTTCTTTTCATTTCATATTTTGTAACACAACATCAAATCTCACATAGCATATTATTTTATCCATAAAAATATATTTAACATTAAGATTACAATAAACGAGAGTTGTGTAAATTCAATTTACAATAAAAACATATAAGAATATTGTGAAATATAGGTTTTATTTTATAAATTTACATAATTTTTAAGAATAATATAATAATTGATTTTATTAGGATACTTCTCTATATTTATAAATTTTTTCTCTGAATTTTTTTTGGAATGTTTTGAATACAGCCACAGAAACGTTTCTAAAATTTGTCAAATGTTCCCAAAATGTTTGTGAATTTGTCAAATGTTCCCAAGTATATTGCATAATTGCTTTGTGATATAGAAAACTGGCAAACATAAAATTTAGAACCAAAGTTATATATTTATTTATGTTCTCTAAATAGACTAGTAATACTTAGAATATAAAAAAAATCTAATGCACAAATAATAAGTTATATAAATAGAAATAACTGCGAGAAACCCTTTTAATAAGAGAAATTAGAATGAAATTGCGATGTATGGATACACAAGAGAAGGAAAAATATTAAAGATATGTACTTAAATACTTAATTATTCTATACTTTCTATATTTGTAATAGAATCATAAACAGAATAAATAAGAATTTTATAATTTCTATTCTATATTCCGGAATGTTTCCCATTTTATAGTAATTAATAGTATTTTGTAATCAATCGATTGCTTAAGGTAGTTATAATTTTATTATTTGGTTTAGTATATAACAAATGTCTATTATTTACTAATTGCTCTATATTTTGGATAGTTTTATAATCATGTATTTATTTGTCGATCAGATATTTCTTTTTAACAAACTTCGTTAAAACATCAAAGTATACTTCAAGATTTAAAGCGTTATTATTTTGATTCTTCTTAATAAAACATATATATTAATTTATCATTGTAACATTTTTCAATGTCCATCTAATGTTTAATACATATAATTATGCGAAGTGAAATAAATACATTCTCGATTTCATTACCAATGCAATTTAAAATATTGCTCTTAAATTTCCTGTATAAGTGTATATACATATAAATTTAATACAAACTCTGCCATTCCATAAACACTTTTATCTCCTTTTGATAAGGTTTTAAATTAATCGATATAATAATAATTAACGTATTCTCTTAGTCTATAATTGTTGAGGAAATTATTGAAGTTCTAATGAAATTAATAGGATTCTGAATATGGCTTAACAGGAGTCTTATCTTGTATACAAATAGTATGCTAACTATGGGGAAGTTTTATTCTACATTTAATGTTTGTATTAAATAATTCGATATGGTAATAATATTAAAAATTCCCGAAATTAACGCTATTTTAAATTGTACAGCGTCATTTTATTTAATATTTAAATTATCTTCGTTTCGGATGCCGCGACAGATCTGCATTGTTACGTAATCAGCGAATGAGCTTCAAATTTTACAATTGGATGTTTAATTTTCGTTTATATGGGAATCTTAAAAAGAAACTTACATATATTTTTTTCGTATAATTAAAGTAATGTTTTTGTTTAAATTAAGTAGAAATATTTAAGGAGTTTTATATAAAGAGCGTATAATGTTGTTTTTTTTTGACTTGTCAATCGTTTTAACAATATAAGAAGTAATGTAAATAAAGTGTTCGCTACTGAGTATGTATTCGCAGTTCTCTTTGGCGTATTAATGTTGAACAAACATCCTGGTTACTTAGAAGACATCTGTGTATACTCGGATGGGGTAATATACTTATATATCTATATATACATATATACTTTTTTCGATGTTATTATATAAATAACTAAATATACGAAAAACTTAAGGACACATCATTCATAGTAAAAGCGTGTGATCGTTAATTTCTTGTCAGTATTTAAATAACGATAAATTATCTTCGTCGGTGTAGTAATATGCAAACTTTAAAATATTGTAACTCTTCAAATTGACGTGTTTTTAATTTTTATACGTTTTTAGCAAAAACATTTATTTTCTTAAGTTATTTTTGACGTTCGATACAAGAAGCTTACAAAACGAGATAAAAAATATAAACTGACTTAAAGATTTTTATACCATTTTCCATTAAATATTGGTAATTCAGATTAAAATATTTTTGTACTGCATATCATACCATTTAGTGTTCTATTGAAGATATTTACTAAATGATGTTAAATGTTTTTTGAAAATTAAGTAAAAGTATAAAACGACGGATACAAATTTCACACTTTCAAAATGATTGCGTAACTAAGCCAGTAAAAAACATTTAAACCTAGCAAAATAATGAAAGATGTCTTTAAGATATTTATCTCAAGATTTAAAATGTAAAATGAATTAATTATAATTACAAAAAAAATCTTGTATAAAAGTCTTTTATGTACTTCATATACTTATTGATTTCAATTAAGGAAACAATATTAATTTGTTGACATTTACACTTTTATAAGGGGGATTCCCATTTAAATTACTTTCCATCCGGATGCTTAGAGTTACCCATATAAGTTTTAAGTATTTATTAATAAAAGAAGACTCTCATTGTTTTATTAAGAATTCGAGCATGTTTTCGTAAAGTAAGAATTTGTTTTTTGTTCCTTTCGTAGGACTGACCTCTTTAATGTCAAATAATCTGGAACTATCTAGAAACCTTCAATGTTAAAAATTCAATTCTTTTTTTTGTGTATTGTAACAAGGGACTTCAAATTTTTTTACATTATTTTTGTTAACGAAATACAAAGCCAAAATTTTATCGCTGTTACCGTATACAAGTTCCACCTTGAACAAAGAGCTGCAGTAACAGTTCGAAACATTAATGATGTATAGGGGAGCAACGCTTTTAAACCACAAAACACTTTAACTGCTTCAGAAGAAAAGCTCCACAAATTATCGCATGAATTGTTTTTCACACACCAACAGCAAATGCTGTGTTACATCACTCTTCGTCAAAATAGCGGTAGATTAATTTGTATTGTGACGAAAAATGGTTTTCGTACATATATCCTAGAGGCTCTATAGTATTTGGAAGCGGTAAAACCAATCATTCAAACCCTAGCTATTATAACTCTGAGTATTCGTGGAGACAATTCTGATATCATGTTCTCAGTCCTACGGCTTCCTTACATGATGATTACGTCAAATATGTATTGACAATAACTGTAAAGCATGATGTAAAAGTTGCTAAAATACGTAGGCTGGTCTATTAATACTTCATCTCTAATATCAACTAGGTCTCTTACTTCAAGACTTCAATATTGTAGCTGCTATTATAATATATCCGATATAAACGCAAATTAATTTCTGCTTCAACAGTATAGTTTTATATTTTATATGTTAAATGAGATTGAATGCAACCCAAGCTCAAAGTTATTATAGACTTATCAATAACTATATATTTTTCTATCAATGTTATCAATAATCTTATAAGTGAAAAAAATCTGCCTTAACGCTCTGATAATAATGATTTATCAAATATATAATTGATTTTTTTCTTTTATTTTCTATTAACTATTCTAATTATTCTTATATAATGTTAGTAGTTAGTTGTGATAGTTACATTTTTTACATTTAAATGAAACGCTGAATTTAAATTAAATATTATATTAGCACTATTTTCGTTTTTTCTCTATGTTAATACTTTAAATGTCTTATCATTTCCACGAATATATCAGATAAGGGTATGATAAAGTCACGTATGTCTACCTATTGATATGTATGTATGAGAGAAAATCTTAAATAGATGAAATAATATGTCGTTCGTTGAAGCAACGTAACTTTGAGCAATGATGTAACCTGTGAACTGGATTCAACGAACGATTCTATGAATCAACTATGAATCACACTGACTAGCATATATCAACATATAACAAGCCGTCCCCAGCTATTATGATTCTAGTATTTCTGTAACTATTCACGTATTTGTCCAGATATCCGAAGTTTTCGACATCACTAACTAACTAAGCAAACCAACAGGTAAAAAACTGTTGCTTTTTTTTTGTCGTATACATAATCAATATTGTCATAACAAATAAGCCATTGACGTAATAGAATGTTTTTAATAAAACGTCGTATTAGCATTTAGATCGGATTTCCTCGATAATGATTCTTCGATATTGTGTTTGACGATGGACATTGTGTTCTTAATGCTCTTATTCTCGGAACCAATGTGTACCAGCCTAATATGTTGACGTGAAATGTCTGCATAATTAAGTAGCTATATTCTGAAATGAGCTTTGATAAGTATAAGTTCGCGTTAAAAAAACTTATGACAATAATACATGAGCGATAATTTATGAATGACAAAACTGTTAACTTTACGTACTGTGTGTAATGAATTGCATTAAAACTTGGGGTAAGCATATTGTTCGTTATGACATGTCAAGTCATCGTAATAAGTATCCAGGCATTATTTCTGGCCATACATGATAATATTTTAAAAAAGAAAATCACAAAAAACTACATTTTTCTATTAAAACCTCTATGGAGTTTCATTGTTTTTTGTTATAAATACAGACGGCTGTATTTCTGTCTACTTAGTAATTTGTAACTACTATTAAAACTCATGATGAAAAACTCATTGAATGTAATAATGTTGTA